GAAACATGTCACTTCAAGATGGTCTTAGTCTTGAAATGACAATCAAACCCCATTACTTGATGCAAGTTATTTTGATTTGTCATTGGTAAACATGGTCTTCCTATGATGAGCAGGAGATAAAATTATATTTTTCCAAAACCCTTCCTCCAGTATAAAATACAAGATGACTGACTGACTGACTGAGTTTGGTTTTACGCCGCTTTTAGCAATATTCCAGCAACATCACGGCGGGGAACACCAGAAATGGGCTTCACACATTGTACTCAAGTGGGGATTCGAACCCGGGTCTTTGGCGTGACGAGTCAACGCTTTAACCACTAGGCTACCCCACTGCCCCAAAATACAAGATGAATGTCGTTGCCAGACATTCTTACTCCAGGGGAGTCTGGTGGCCTAATGGTTAGAGCGTTTGCTTATCATCCTGATGAACCGGATTCATTCCACACATTGATACAATGTGTGAAGCCCATTGGTGACCCTGCCCTCCTACTGCTGTAATATTGCTATAAGCAACATACAACTATACTCACTCACTTGTTCCTGGTTTAGACCATCAGGAATGTTAATCAAAGTCACAGTTCTTGTCAAATCTTGGTATAATTAGAAAGCACAGATATGAGCATCAATTACAGACATAACACTGGGTCCAATGCTGATTTGAACAGGTTACTTATATCACATATAAACCTGAAGGGTGCTTCTCACTACCGGTATATATTACACATGGCTTCTTTTCCCGTAATAACCACATTTGAGGTTTTTGTTTGCTCCCAGGTTTTACTTTTTGTAAGTAAGACCTATTTCCCAGTTTACTTTTTCCTAACTCTATATTAACATCAACAAATATCGTCAAAGATCAACTTTAATGTGCAAATGTTTTCCCCAGCAGGATTGGAACCGCATCTCTCAGGTTATCAAGCGGATGCTCTACCTCATGGCCACCGGGCTGACAAAGAAGCCAGGGTTGAATTATCTATTTATAGTTAGGCCTACTGTCATTAAATTGATTTTCTAGCGCGTCAGTTACTGTTATGTAGCTTCATTACATGATCATCTAATTATCCACCATTGACGGTTTATATGTATAATAAAGCACTCCTCTCGGTTATGGTTGGGAAAGTAAGCCCTCGACCATCGGGTGGAGAGAAGTAATACCGAGAGCGCTACGCTACGCGCTCTCGGTCTTACTTCTCCCCACCCTCCGGTCTCAGGTCTTACTTTCCCAACCATAACCGAGGAGGAGTGCTTTATCCTACACATCTCAGTTTTTCTCTCAAAGTTTGAGGAAATCTCAAGCTGAAACAGGTCCTAGACGTTTTCCACTTAATTAACAAAGTATTAGTATGGTAAAACAGACGAATTTGGGATGTGAGACCATTTTCAGCACATCCTAGTAGCTAACAATGGCTGCAACTCTTCACTGCTATATCTGATATGTCTAGGGAACAAGAGATCCAGTTATGTGCAGTCTGGAGAACTTACCCATGGCTCCAATGTGTTCTTGAATCCCAATAGCTGCAACCCTGCACTGCACATATCTGGGTTTCCTGTTCTCTAGATATAACAGATGTGCAGTCAAGAAAACTTTTACCCTGGGTCATATGTCTGAGTCTGACTGAGTTTGGTTTTACGCCCGCTTTTAGCAATATTCCAGCAACATCACGGCCGGGGACACCAGAAATGGGCTTCACACATTGTGCCCATGTGGGGATTCGAACCCGGGTCTTCGGCGTGACGAGCCAACGCTTTAACCATTAGGCTACCCCACCGGCCCTGGGTCATACGTGTCTGGAATACCTGACTAGTTATGACATCAGTCATCAATGTCCTTCAAAGGAGCGCTCAGGTTATCGCAACTCTGTAAATTAACACTGACTTACAATAGTTTCACCGATTTGCGATTGCTTTACAATCACTCACTTGATAAAAAGAAGTATCTACATTGAATCACTGTACTTACTGCATAAAGAGGTTGTACATCAGAAGAAAGGTATGATACTTTATGGATGACAACTTCCCATAAAGTATCATACTTTTCTTGTTATTCATTAAAATGTCATTCAAACAGATCAGGTTGTACATCCATAGAATTATCTCCCTTGTTCATCAATTTTCTGTTTCTGTATTTCAATATGAGTTTTGCACTTTGTCATTGAATCAAATGAATGTCATCAGAATGTTAAAACATTAAATGATTTTTAAGTGGCCATAACACTGAAAACATATTTTCGTAATCTGTGATGAAATTGCAAGTAGCCACACTGGTCTCAGATGTGCACACAATACTCAATACTGATCATGTCAAGTTGAGGTCCGTTATGGAGGGAATGCTAGACAAGAAGAAAACCACTTTAGTCAATCTATCTTAAAAACACCTTAAGTTGTCTAAACACTAAGAAAATGGAATTTATATAATTTTAGAACCATGCAGAGGTGGGTCCTCATTTTTTAAACTTGAGGTGCACGTAAAACCGAAGCCACAAAGTGCACCTCCTGCCCCCAATCCTCTGGATCCTCTGGACCCACTGTTGCCATGGAAGTGCATCATGTTTGCGAACAAGTAGTAGTGTCACAAGCTTTCATGAAATCACATTAATTTCATGGAATAAAGAATGACGTACTGATACTATGGTGATACATTATAGCCCACATATATATATATATATATATATATGTCACCATCACATAAATAAATAATATATTTAATAATTTAACAAATTTGCATCACATAGTCAATCACACACACACATTCACATGGACTCTCATGTTTTCCAGTCTACAGACACAAATAACAATGACAGTTATAAACACAACCTGTGTCAAATGAAAGACGGTTATGATGTACCTTGAGAAAATATTTACAAAACATAGATTTATTATGAAAAAAGACAACACTTGTACTCTGTGAATAAAAGTGGAAACCACTGAAATTAGGTATTCCTGTGTCCACTGAAAACATGTAGCACTAACGTTTTCTCCTTTGTAATACTTTGGTTTCAAATATGGAATCATGCTGAACAGGCCATATCTTTTCTTTATTACTTGGATTACAATATATCTTATGAGACCATTAAAATGCTGGTCAACACAAATATATACACACAAAAATTAAACCACAAATATGTAATTTCTTGAAAGTATATAGTCAGTTAGAGGAAGGTCAGGGGTTACTTCCCTTGGATTATGTCTTGCATGAAGATTTTCTAAACTTAGTAACATTAAGCAATTAAAAAAGAAGAAAATTTAGGTTTATCATATATTTGAGAAATATTTGGTTGGGAGATACATACACCAAGTAATAAAGAAAACAAGCCTGCCTTAATAAAGTTACTATAAAATCACAGAATGCTTTTTCCTTAACAGCGCCTCAATATTTTCTATCTCATGGCTGGACCAAGTTTACCTCAACCTTTAAAACTTTAGTTTTGTCATGCACCGACATAGTGTTGGGGTAAAATTGTTGCAGGTCATCAACATTTGGAACAATGTCAACTCTGTGAAACCCATGATTAATTGTATGCTGCCGACAGGCCAAGGATCATAATTGGGAAACATTTAGATTTGAACTTACAAACAGTGGATCCTAGCATGGCAAAGGGGATGTAACTCTGCATAGACTTTATCTAAGATCACTGGGTCATGAGTGACCCTTTTCTACATTGTCAACATTGTGCAGGTTTGCATACATTCTTCCATCACCTGTGAATACACCGTGTTGCTCTGTCATATTGTTATTGTTAACCTGGGTAGCCCAGTGGTTAAAGTGTTTGCTTATCACACAGAAGACCCAGGTTTGATTCCCTATAAGGAACCGTTCATAATTAATGGCTGTGTGTGTGTGTGTGATATGATGATTTGAAGGGGTGGGATGTGGTTTTTTTGGGGTCACCCATTTTGTTCTGGGGAGGTGGGAGGGGGTTGTCATCAATTTTGTACACATTTCTAGGGGGGTCAGCAATTTTGTACATGAAACTATTTATTGATTTTGTACATGACAAGTAGGCAGGGTCACTTACTTTGCACATAAATGTGTGTGTGTGTGTGTGTGTGTGTGTGTGTGTGTGTGTGTGTGTGTGTGTGTGTGTGTGTGTGTGTGTGTGTGTGTGTGTGTGTGTGTGTGTGTGTGTGTGTGAGATTCACATTGTACATGCTTCTCCATAAAAATCATCATCACATCCCCTAGCCATAAATTATGAACGGTCCCTAATGGTACAATGTGTGAAGCCCATTTCAGGTGTTCCCTGCCAAGATATTGCTTGAATATTTCTAAAAGCAATGTAAAACCATTCTCACTCACTATTTTCAACCTGTAAACCAAGCAGAAGCCTGGCTCCAGCCAAAACTCAAACCAATGGTTAACATATAGCACTGCAATGCTTCTTACTGGACAACAAATGCAGATAGTACCATAGCCTTGTGGCCATCTGCTCTATGCATTAGCATTAAAAAAGGGTTCTGAAATTCACGAAGGGCTTCATTTCATTATCTTCCTCAAAACAGACATGTGCAAGCACACCACAAAGGTTTTCATGATGGAGAATGTAACACACAGAAACCCATGAAGTATTGACAATGACTCTTCAGAATCTTAAGGAAGCAGACTACACTGACAGGGTCACTGTTTAAATAACTATGCCAAGGCTGTCTTTTCCTGAGACTTGTGCCGAATACACTGACAGACAATCTCCAATCCTTATACATCCCACACAGAATAATCTATGGCGATCAGACGCTGCAAGCTGTAGGGGTGAAACCAGGGCTCCAGATAATTTTTCAACATTAGGAGTACGTACTTCTTAATTTTTTAATATAGGAGTACTGAAAAACCTTAAGAGTACATTTAGAGTATTGAATGGAATTTAATGGAGTATCAGCAGTTCATATTTGCACCACAACATTGCTACTCTTGTGTAAACAGGTCAATGAACAATAAAACAATACATTTTTCTGATAAATACGTCTGTAAATGATTCTAAGACCGTACACCATTGCTGTGGTGCGTATCTGCTACGTTTTCCAAAATATTTCCTACCGTATCGTGCATATTTTTTATCCGTACATACGCTGATACGGCCCTTATCTGGAGCCCTGGTGAAACAATACATTGGTGCATTAAGATGTTTCATGCTTTGACATAATACAGGATAGATTAATTTCTGCATCCATATCCATACATGACAATACGCTTGCTAAAATAAACTCCTTGCTACCCTTTCAATGTCCCACAAGCTCTCTTAAAAACTGTTGAAATTAGCATTTCAATTTCACTTCTGACAAGATCTGCTACCAACATGTTTGTGCAGCTGGCTTTTCCCTTTGAAGCTGTTCTGCAATATGAATACTCCACATGTTTCCACATGACATAAATATGCGTATCGCCATCACATCTTGACCTTGTGTATCGTCTCACTCCCAGTAATCAGCCTAGTTCTACTCCATGAAGATACCCAAATCACAAGCTGCCGAGCCATGGCGTGGTGAAAGTGAACAATTTGACTCCAAGGGTACAGTTTGTGTGTATGGTAGTGAATATGGTCGGAATAATCACAGAGGGAAGCATATAGTCTTACAATATAAACATGTCACCAAACTTTTCTGAAAAGCTAGAATTGGTTTCATTTTGAAAATCATTTGTGGTTGTAAACATATTTTTTCCCTAAAAATATGTCTTCCTTATCCTCCCACATTATAACGTGCTTGCTCGTTACACAGAGACACCATGCAGGTATAAAAAATAAACATCCTGGATGTGTTTTTTAAGGACCTGTGAAACCTGTTTCTCTGAATGAAAAGAGTTGATCCTGAATCGCATGCATGAAAGCAGAATGATAAATGCAGACTAGGAGTGACTTCCTAATATGACAATCACCATGGATGAATTTTGATATAACCCTCGTAATAGTTTTGACTATCGGAAAGCATGTTATACAGGCATGGTAAGGGATTACGTGAACTGAATGATACAGCAACCCACAGCAAAAAGTAAACCAGATGAACTTGCTCAAACAAGAAGAATGTTTGTAACTTTTATGGCAGACTGATTCTTGAGACAAATATTTGGATATCAGCAAAACTGAAAAAAATCATTCTCAAAAGCATGGGAAGCATTATCAGTAGAATATTGGCATTATGAAGAATTGTTTCCGGAGTAGCAGGTCCATGGGTGAGTTGGCTCTCATTTCGTCACAAGCCTTGAGATGTGTACTCCAAGATGGAAGCGTGGTAAATCCTTGACTAACGAACTGGTTTTGTCTGCTTGTGGCAGTTGACTGATGGTGAAAATGATGATGATGATCTGTATGTTGAATTTGATGCCCTGAATAATTCTTTGTTTTGTCTTCATAAAATCACATTTGGTCTGTCACCTTGGTAACCATACATCGTTCATATTTTCACACAAACTCTCAATTCCTTTCAAAGTTCGGAAATTTCCAGCATAGAACAAAAGGTCTGAAGTCACAAGCCTGAAAATAGAAATTGTATAAAATGTTAATGGGATTACTTTACAGGAATTTCATATTTCTGTTGTGTCAATAGAAACCCAAACGTTGAATGTGACGTAGGAGGTGAGGTGAGGTGAAATTGGGTTTAACGTCGAGCTGGAGAATATTTTGCTCATATGACGACGTGCATGCGTGTGTATGTGTATGTGCGGCTGCATGTACTTGCCCAGACTGAAGCTGGTTTTATAGTGCTAAGCCCACTGAGATACCATGCCGCAGTGAAGCATGAATACCCCACTCAGACACATTATACTGACTCCGAGCCGACCAGTCCATGTTGTACCCATTAATGCTGAGTGCCAGACAGGGACCAACAAGTACCATATTTTAACGTCTTTTGGTATGACGCGGTCGGGGATTGAACCCGCGACCTTCCGCTCTCCGGGCGGACGCTCTAACCACTACACCACGGAGGCGGTCGAATGTGACGTAGGAATAGCTAACATTTGCTTTGATGAGACATCTGCTCCTGCAGTCCCAGACAGTTTACATTATTACTGTGTTAATCCAATAATCCAACTTAAACTTGAAGTATTATTAACATTGATAATAATTCTTAGAATACTACCTCTAACACTTGATTGCCTTATTTCTTAATTTGTTTCTGAGCCACATGTTTAACTTGAATAAAATGGGAGTGCTTGAGAAGACCACAAGGAAGTAAGAAAACACAACATGATGGATGTTTAAATTTTTTATTCAAGTTACACCTGTGGATCAGAAACAAGTTTCAGGAGTGAGTGAATTTAGTTTTACGCCGCACTCAGCAATATTCCAGCTATATGACGGCGGTCTGTAAATGATCGAGTCTGAACCAGACAATCCAGTGATCAACAGCATGAGCATCGATCTGCTCAATTGGGAACCGATGACATGTGTCAACCAAGTCAGCGAGCCTGACGACCCAATCCCGTTAGCCGCCTCTTACGACAAGCATAGTCGCAACAATTTTCAGAAAATAAGGCAACCAAATGTTAGAGGGATGTATTCGTAAGAATTATGAATATGGACTTTGATACCTACCCATACTGGGGCCCTCCATCATTGCACACATTCAGTCGTACAAGATGTCTACTGAGTATCTGTTTGAAAGACTGGTTGATTCTTACAAACAAGTCCTGAAATATAGAAATACGGAGTCCATTGTCATGTTCACCATTCAGACATTGTACAAACAAATCAATATTTACTGGTGCACACATGTTAAGTAATCATTCAAATTATAATGATGGGACAAGAATGACAAGACTTTATATTAAGAATGTGGAGTTCATAGCTTCCTGAATACACTGAGGGGTATACAAACTATGACAAAACCGCATTATCCATGGTTCAAGGGAGGTTATTCTCTCTCACTACATCGGACATGCAAATGTGGGCAACTGGTAGTCTTGAATACCAGTTGTTGAGCTTCCATTTTTAAGGAAGTCTTAGTGTTTGAGGGGGTTGGTGTCTTACTTATAGAGTGTGGGTTTGAATCCTGAACAGGACTCAACCCAAAGAAATATAATTTGCATTTTACTAAAAAATGTAATCCCAAACATAACACATGCTACACTATCAATAATTCTTTCTTTATTGAATGTCCTGAATTTCCACGGTAGACAGGTTCCCAAGTGACCTCTGCTTGCCTCAAGTGAGTGAGTAAGTATTGTTTACCATGCTATTAGCAATATTCCAGCAATATCATGGCGGGGGACACCAGAAATGGGCATCACACATTGTACTCATGTGGGGAATCGAACCTGGAACTTTGGCATGACGAGCGGACGCTTTAACCACTAGGCTACCTCACCGCTCCGCTTGTCTCAAGAGACCACTTGATTACATGTCACAGCACACCGAAGACATGGAACTTTGCTGAACCATTGTTTTGCTTGGTACAGACCGGGTTATTTACAGGCTGCCATTACAAACCTGGCAAACTTTGAGTCAAGAAAACCTGAAATACACAAACACATATGGTGTAAGTGTACTGACAACCTCTGACAGATAACTCACCTTGACCTGAGAAACTGGGAGAATGTCTATGATTGCTTCATGTAGCTTGGCCATCTGCTTACAGAGAGACCTAAAGCATGCTGAGGGCATCGGTGCTTTCACTTCATACTGGAAGGAGACAGAAGCTCTCAACAATCAAATACTGAAGTACTGTATAATGGTAAAATTAGTCCTCGTTAGTGTTAGTATAGGTATATCAAATCATCTGATGCCGGCAGGTGTGTTATCCTCTGTAATTCATTTAATTGTTCAAAACTAAAGTTAAAATAGAACATGGGCTGAGGTGGTGGTGATAGTGTCATTTTCCATCCCTAAGGGCTGCTTCAAAGTCTCAAATAAACCATATTTGTGACCCATTATTTATGTTACTTTAACAATCAAGTCAACATGTCATTTTGGTAGGTATACATAATGTCATCAAATGTGAGTGAGTGAGTGAGTATGGTTTTATGCCACTTTTAGCAATATTTCAACAACATCACCAGAAAAGGGCTTTACACATTGTACCCATGTGGGGAATAGAACCCTGGTCTTCAGTGTGATGAGTGGATGCCTTAACCATTAGGCTACCCCACCACCCCTCATCAAATTTGGAAAAAAGAGGGGAAGCCATCCCCCCAAACTCCTCTTTTGGATCTACCCCTGCAAAGTGTTGTTAGCACAACTAACATAACCATTTCCTTCTTCTCACCTGTGATAGCTGTGCTTCCATCATGTTCTCCATGATGGTGAGGAGCTTGTTGTTGATTTCATCTATGTGGTCTTTGTAGTCCTGTAAACAAACCAATAGTCATCAAATACAAAGTCAAACATAATTTATGAATGATCAATGTTTTCCCCACAAAATGTTCACATTTCAAACTCTTTCCTTTATTACATACTGCAAAATTTTCAAACCATATATATACCAAATAATTGTTTTTTTCAACATTCTGATATTACATAGCAAGAAGATCTACGTATGAATACACTTTCAAGTGCTAGAAGGTGAACTACAGTACCTTCCTAATCTCTACACATGTCCAGCAGTTGATGATGTAACAAAACATGCCCATGCCCTCCCAAAACATTGCTGTATGTGGAAGTAGCAGGGAAAGTCCATTAAAAGATGAGGTGAGTGAGTAGGATGAACACTGCTTTAGCAATATTCCAGCAATATCACAGCAGGGGACACTCTAAATGGGCTTCACATATTGTACCCAAATGGGGAATCAAACCCGGGCTTTTGGGATGACGAGCGGTGGGTTTAACCACCGGGCTACTCCAATGTCCACATTAAAATATGACAGCAGCTGTTGATCAATGTCACTGACCTTGATGATCTGTTCAAAGTGTTTGAGCATGTTGACGTTGCGTGAGGGTAGCTGGTCCTCAAAGTGTGCCTTCACCCTTGGCATGTAGTGGACCACCAGCTGCAGGGCCCGCGACGCCAATGCTAGATGGGGATAGACAGGGTATCAGAAACTGTACAAATGTCTGACACAAGTTTTAGTTGTATGGCAGTATATTGGTACTGGTATTCCCTTTACTGTGTTACAGTCCTTTACAGTCCTGTTAGAAGCGACCAACACCGGGAACAGGTCACATTAACATTCAAGCAAAGTACATGTATTACCATGATGAATATGACTATCTATGTGTCTTGTTTGGCAGCATACAAGACATATGGCTGTGGTGTATAAATAATCATGTCTGGGCCAGTGATTGATATTATGAGCAATATTCCACACCATTGCCGTACGATGACACTGAATCAGACAAGTCACTCAGCATGATCATGTGGTCCTGGTTGTTGAATCTTCTGACATGCAACGTTTCTGGTGATTTTGGGGTAGAAATAATGGTTTCTGCTGATTTCAGGATAGAAATGATGGTTTCTGGTGATTTCAGGATAGAAATAATGGTTTCTGGTGATTTTGGGGTAGAAATAATGGTTTCTGGTGATTTTGGGGTAGAAATAATGGTTTCTGCTGATTTCAGGATAGAAATGATAGTTTCTTGTGATTTCAGGATAGATCCGACTTCCTTATATATAAAGGGTATAAACAACTTGCAAGTTGTGAGCTTGTAGACTGTATACATGAATGTATGCGTCATAATTGTAGAATTAGCGTTGAACTTGTTGTACATATTTCTTCTCAGAAACACGGCTGATTAAAGTTATACTACGCTGTAACAAGGCTGCTGTTCAATTTACGATATTAAGATTGTCTGCAGATATGCGTAATAGTCACGCATGTAGATAATCATATATCGTCGTCGAGTTGTATATGGCAATTTATCACTGAGATAGTTGATTTCTGTGAAGATCTATGAAATGTCGTTGACTAATAATACAGCGGCGTTCTGTGTTGTAAATAGCCTGAGCAATTATCTTCGGCGTGAAGCTTATAGGCGACATCTGGCATACAGTTGATAATCAACTTATCGGCGTCTTGAAACGGACTGGCCAGTAGCTATATATGGCCGAGTGGCTAGTATATGGAAACCTTGGAGGAGACTTCCTCGGTGAGCTAGCCGGAGACTTAGCGAAGTTCTCGAAGTATCCTTCTAGATCTTCTGGGTGAAGTAGACTTGCGGAACCCAGCCTTAGCGACCATCGCTTGAAGGTGTCGAGAATCAAAAGCCGATTAGTATATATATATATATATATATGATAATATATATGGCTTGTTTAAGTGAACAGCCTCTGTGTTTAACAGGATGTGGGATCGTGACGCTTGCCTAAGTATAGCGCATATAGATCATCTTATCATATTCAGAAGTGGAGGTGTTTACGAGAAGTCTGGTGATAAGTGTCTAATTGATCGTTCTAGATCTATTTAGGCCAGCGAACATCGATCTAGATCATGGATTCAACAGAACCAATATCACGATTGTAGTTCTTATACTTGATGTCGATGATCAACTTGTCTATGGGTTGATCTTCGGAGACTTTTAATGAGAGCGTTGATAAGTTAGCGAGAAGCTCTTGTATAGTCCCTCGATGTCCTTCTAGATGATGATGATCTGGATTCAGGTGTCGCCGGCATGCCTACGGTGAAGCTTCCTCTGCGTCGGTCGAGAGGCAGCGATATGACACTATTCGAAGGCTTCCGTGATGTCTGATGGTCGAGTCCACATCTGGGGATGAAACGCTATAAAGGTGATGATCTATCCTGCCTTGAAGTCGCCCAGCGAAGGCTGGCTATCTAGGTTCTTTCGCCAGCGAAGGCTGTACATCTAGGTCCTTTCAGCCTTCGAAGGCGCCGAGCTATTTTATCTAGGTCGCCGTCAAAGGTGGTCCGTGACTTCAGCCAGCGAAGGTGACATCGTCCTGGCTGCTTCGTTGACGGGGGTGCCTCTGGGGTGCTGTCGTTGGAGCCTTCACCCTTCGGACCCTGCTACCGCAGAATATTGGTCCTCCATGATGTTCATAATTTGTCATCATGTCTTCTGGGATGGTCTGCGGCAATTCGTCCGGTGCTTTATCTCTGCGGTGTTAATGGAGAGGGTCCACGGGAAAATCGTCCGACATCAGTGTAGAAGGCATCAGGCTGCATGGTGATCTCTGCTGATGTCGTTGTAGCTGATACGATGCGTTTCTTGTGGCGTGGTAGGGATGATGATCAGCTGATCATCGTAGAGTCAGGTCATGCGGCTGGAACAATCTCGGTTGAGAAAGTCGTGACCGTTGATTTTCCCCTCAGAATTCGTCGGCTGCCCTGGGTGTGCGGCTGCGTTGAGTGTTGGTAATGATGGGACCCTCAGGGCGATCATCAGCATAAATAATGCGACATCGGTCAATCTTTGATGTACATCGGTGTGATGACCGGCTGATCGATAGAGCGGTCACCGGTTGTTGAGATGTAGTAGAAAAACCCTCTAGTCTTCTGCTGCGGCGATGGGATGTCTGAATTTCTTGGAGATGGACTGATTTCAGGATAGAAATGATGGTTTCTGGTGCCAAAGCGCAAAGTTTCTGGTGATTTTGGGGTAGAAATAATGGTTTCTGGTGATTTTGGGGTAGAAATAATGGTTTCTGGTGATTTTGGGGTAGAAATAATGGTTTCTGCTGATTTCAGAATAGAAATGATAGTTTCTTGTGATTTCAGGATAGATAGTTGTTCCTGACAACTTATGGTCCTGAGACCAAACTTAATGGTTCCAAAGATCAGTCTGGATACACTTGGCTGATAACATGTGACAGTGTGGATCATGCTCAGAATATCAATCAGAGGACTGTTCGGCCCAAATACTGTAAACACACTTATTTTCGCGTGGTGCAATTTTCGCGGAATTGACAGTTTAGACTACATCGCGCGGTCAATTATTCGCGCAATCAGTAATTGCCGGAACTGCCAGCTGTCTCTTTGGCCGCCACTAATAGCAGTGAAAACAAACAGAGTGGCTTAACCTGTCAGGCGGCGTTTATTGCTTACTCACAGGAAATCCCTATCTGTGCGATATACTAGTACACAGTAATCCGTTTACTCACGGAAGAGATGAAAAACACATCAGTCTTATGTTCCGAATTCTGACGATCTGACGAATTAACTTCTACTGTATATGAAGCTCTTTGTGATTTCAAACAAGCCGGGTTGTTGTGAATGAGATGACTGAGTGTTAAGTGACTATTCGCTTCATGATGTACTGGTAAATAAAATCTTAATGAATAAATAAAATACTGCTGTATTATTTCTTTCCGAGTCGTTTCATGGTAATCTGTTTTGTATCAAACCATCTGTCATGTGACCAATTTCCATGGCGCCACAACACACACATTGCTGTTTTCGCTAATTCGGCGATGGGATTTGGCTCATTATTTAATTATGTTTTGGGAAATCCATTACAGCGACAGTTAAGTATGATTCTTTATGCTACTATCAGTCGTCATTTTAAGATTCCCGTAGATTTCTGTCTTCAAACTTGATGTGTTATGGTAACAACTCAGGGGCGAGGTTGTCTAGACTGAATGAATGACAGGTTTATTCGCGGTGTATAAATTTTCGCGTTAAAACGTTTTGCGCGAAAAGCGTGAAAATAAAACCTGCGCGAAATATAATACGTTTACAGTATGACGATTCCCATGCCACCGACATATAGATGGAATATGAACCTTTGTGCCAACATGTAGATGGAACATTGCTGAGTGAGGAGTCAAACAATGTTACCAGTGCATGCCAGTCAGCAGTAGAGGTACATAATGGTGGTTATAGAAAACAAGTGGTCGATAGCATGAACAATTATCCAACATTTGACATTCAATAATGCATACAATAAGGTCACACATTGCAACTACCTACTCTGCAGGAATTCTCAAGAACAAATCATGGAGCAATGGGAACAACTCTGCCCACTGGTAGTCTGTGAAGAGGTTACACATATTATCACTATTTACACATATACATCAAATGCCTCACCCAATGTCCTGGTTGTGATTTTCTTCAGGCCGACAAGCTGCAGAGCTCCAGCCCCAAGGACTAGCTGACATGTCCGGGAGTTGAACGTCTATAAAACAAGGCAATCAATAAGCACTATATACCGTCAATGCGAATTTCAAAATTATCCAATCAGAATAAACTCATTCATAAAAATCAATCACTCATATTTGTAACAAGGTCATAGATGTAACCATGAACAAATCTACCACTGCACAATGTTACCTTGAGCAAGTGATTAGCCTGGGTAAATTATGCTATGTTCAGCAAATCGAAAAGCCTGGTAACGATATTATGTATCTGATCACACAATTTACCTTCAGTTGGTCTATGAGGATACCTACTGTTGTTTACCTTGAGCAAACTTAAAGGCCTGAGCATGCAGGGATATACTGAGCAACACTATTACCCTTATCAAACTTTCTTACATTCAGTAAGTCTATGGGCCTGGTTATTCTATGTCACCTTGAGTAAATCTATGGACCTGGTTACACTAAGTTACCTAAGTCTATGGGACGAGTTACAGTATGTTACTTTGAGTAAGTCTATGTACCTGGTTACACTATGTCACCTTGAGAAAGTCTATGGGACGAGTTACAGTATGTTACCTTGAGTAAGTCTATGGACCTGGGCCTAGATTTTCAAAGCTCTCTTAGCGTTAAGATAGTCGTAAGGGCCATACATTAACATTAACTTACAACTCTCTTAGCGCTAAGAGAGCTTCAAAAATCTAGGCCCTGGTTACACTAAGTTACCTTGAGTAAGTCTATGGGACGAGTTACAGTATGTTACTTTGAGTAAGTCTATGGACCTGGTTACACTAAGTTACCTTGAGTAAGTCTATGGGACGAGTTACAGTATGTTACTTTGAGTAAGTCTATGGACCTGGTTACACTAAGTTACCTTGAGTAAGTCTATGGGACGAGTTACAGTATGTTACTTTGAGTAAGTCTATGTACCTTGTTACACTAAGTTACCTTTAGTAAGTCTATGGGCGAGTTACAGTATGTTACTTTGAGTAAGTCTATGGACCTGGTTACACTAAGTTACTTTGAGTAAGTTTATGGGATGAGTTACAGTATGTTACTTTGAGTAAGTCTATGGACCTGGTTACACTAAGTTACTTTGAGTAAGTTTATGGGATGAGTTACAGTATCTTACTTTGAGTAAGTCTATGTACCTGGTTACACTAAGTTACCTTGAGTAAGTCTATGGGATGAGTTACAGTATGTTACTTTGAGTAAGTATATGGGCCTTGTTACACTAAGTTACCTTGAGCAAGTTTATGATCTTGGTTACACCAAGTTACCTTGAGCAAGTCTAAGGGCCTTGTTACACCATGATGCCTTGAGCAAGTCTATGGGCTTGGTTACACTAAGTTACCATAGGCATGTCTATGGGCCTATTCACATGATGTTACCTTGAGAAAGTCTATGGGACTATTCAAATAATGTTACCTTGAGCAAGTCTATTGGACTATTCATATAATGTTACCTTGACCAAGTCTATGAGCCAGGGCCTAGATTTTCAAAGCTCTCTTAGCGCTAAGATAGTCATAAGCTAATGTTAATGTATGGCACTTACGACTATCTTAGCGTTAAGAGAGCTTCGAAAATCTAGGCCCTGTTCACATGATATTACCTTAAGCAAGTCTATGAGCCTGTTCACATAATGTTACCTAATGAAGACTATGAGCCTGTTCACATAATGTTACCTTGTGCAAGTCTATAAGCCTGTTCACATAATGTTACCTTGAGCAAGTCTATGAGCCTATTCACATAATTGTACCTTGAGCAAGTCTATGAGCCTATTCACATAATCGTACCTTGAGCAAGTCTATGAGCTTATTCACATAATCATACCTTGAGCAAGTCTATGAGCCTATTCACATAATTGTACCTTGAGCAAGTCTATGAGCCTGTTCACATAATGTTACCTTGAGCAAGTCTATGAGCCTATTCACATAATCGTACCTTGAGCAAGTCTATGAGCCTGGTGAGGAGATCTGGGGCTGCAGTAGGGATGTCATTGAGACACTGGCAGTATTCAACCACCATCTTGATCAACATCAACACCGTGCTGCAAGGAAAACAAGGACACAATAAATCACCGAAAAATACTGAGAAATGAGAAAACTACATTTCATAGTCCAGAGTCTGTTCCATCCTTTAGGGTTAACAATTTTGCCAAACTACTATCAGCTTCAACTTTGTATATATTTTAACATAGACAGCCCATATGACAAATTCAATATAATTCAGGCAGCCAAACAACGTACCTTTCTACAGGTTTTACCCATTTTAAGCTACATTTTTCACAAAATCTATCGACCCTGTGTACAGTCATTCTCTTCCCAGAGGTCACTTGTCATATCTTCCTACGAACTCGGTTCTAATACGGCCATATTTCCCGGTTCTCTTAAAATTCCCTAGCGGCAAATAAATCGTAACACGAATATCTCCATTCTTTCTATCCAATCAGAGCACGTGTTGCAGCGACCTAGATTCAGCTTGTCTAATACAAGTAAATGTGGGCCCGGGGGACTGCCTGGGACTTGTGTTGATGTGACACACAAGGCATATAATGGCTAGCTTGTCCGTTGTGAACGAGGGCGATGGAGACGCCATTGATCCGCCATTACATGACTGAGTTCTGTCTAGAAGAAAATGTTTGTGCATCATGCAGGGGAGGAGGTTCTAGTTTTCCTGAAGCATACGGAAATTACCGAGACCTTGCGAATGATCACTTTTGAAACAACGTCGCTGATTGCACAACTAAATGTGTGGTGGCACGTGGTCCTGTGCATAGTGCTCAGGTCACAAATCAGTTGAAGTTAAGCAATGTTAGGCTCGGACAGCCCTTGGATGGGTGACCATGTTGGCAGCTTAACTCCTGAGAGTTTCTTGGACTTCAGTCCTGCCCCACAACGAAGCACATGTGATACATGTGGTCTCACCTTAGGCAAGTGAGTTTGTTCACAATTGCCTCTGTTCACCCAGCAGGAAATGGGTACCTGGTGAAATAAGTCGTGAGACTATTAACCTTCTAGCGCCTAACAGGCAGCTTGGGTTATCCGGGGTAATAATGATCAGATTGTGCACTTTGAGCAGGATAACCAGCCTGGAAAAGGCGCGTTATAAATATTCTCATTATTAACTAAATCTGATTGCAACCAATCACGAATCCTGAACACTTGCACCATGAAAGGGACATATTAGAACAGAGGTTTGTAGGAAGATGACAAGTAACCTCTGTGGGAAGAGAATGGTGTACAATATAACTATGGCCTCAGTTAACATTACTGAGAGTACTCACCCGACCACAGCATACTTTTCACCATCCACGGTGATGAACTCCGAAGGCTTCCTACCATCTGTTAAATTAACAGAAAACATTCAAAATAGTGTTTTACTTAATATAGCCATTTGCAACCCCAAAACATAAGTAATAAACATGGAAACTATATTTGAATGAACGGATGCTGAGTTTTTTAAGCCTGAAGAGCTTCATGCAGGCAAGGCAGCAGCTAAACACTTTAGCACTTGTCCACAATTCTGCAGTAAGAAAAGGTCAAAGACAGCCAGCTCACAGCTCGTCGATACTCAGGGGAGGAGTGAGGGTGTGATCCATATAGTGTGGCAATAACTAGGGCTGCAACGAACACACTATGTGGAAAATATGATACATATCATGAAAATTGGGTAACGAATACGAATAATTATTCACGAGTACAATATTGTTGTTAAGTGATTGATGTACAATATTGAACGCCCATGTTGACAGTGTTAATGAGTACAATATTGTTGTTAAGTGACTAATGTACAATATGGAACGCCCATGTTGACAGTGTTAATTCGTCACAGCAATAACCAGTCATCTCATGACACTCAAATTTGGTATGTAATAGTTATAGTCGACAGTACCATGTGCGGCCTTGGCAACTAACATGACTTGCACTTTAAAAAATCGTAAATATTCGGTTCTGGTGACCACGATTAACGAATTGAATTCATGAAGCCTTGAAGGGCTACGGTTCGATTCACCGAATATGCAAGTGAATCGTTACAGCCTTAGTAATAATGCACAAAAATCACAGTCACACATTTCAACAACCTATAAGCCCTATAATGGTCACCTCTTGTAACATGTTGTTTACTGTCACAATATTCCAGCGATTTTACGGTCGCCTGAAAATAATCAAATCTGAACCAGACAATATCCCTTCTATTATTCTGAACAACGACCCATGCTGTCTGTGTATGACGACACACTATCAAGCACGTCACCTTTTGTGACCAGCATATGAAGTGGGGGACCCCTTCTAGCCAAGACTCTTGTAACAATCAAGGAGGAATTGTGGCTTGGTCCAATTCCACCACAGTTCATTTCAAACACTTTCTGCAAGTCTGTGTGACACAAATATTCCCATAGCATACAAAGATATAAGGTAAACCGTTGTCTTAAATCTTTCTTCAAACATGCATACAAACGTAAGATAATCCAGTAGCACTGATTCCAGTGGGCAAACTGTCACTTGCCTGAATCTATTCTTCTTTCAGGAATGGACAATGCACCTGAAATGGAGGAAGCATTGCTAACTTGAAACCAACATTCACCATGCAGTTTCATCTAAAATGGTTAAACTAGTGATGCAATAAACTGGAAGTTTAATATGTATGTATGTAAAACATTAAATTCCTTCTTGGCTTTGAAAGAAGCACTGGTATTATCACCAGTTATGGCCATGCTTCTGGATTCCTGTGCCGACTTAGGCATACAGTTGGATACCAAGGTTACAGTCGATATGTTTAAACTTATCAACAGACATCACTCCATAAAATTCTTTGGGGATGTTTTGATACAGATTCTTGTGCCGTTGTCAAACCACATTGTACTTCCCAGCTTCTAAAATGCCACTCAAACAGTTTGAATAAAATGGAACTTTCTATGTTAATCTGTGGGTGTTATGAAATGTTATGATCCAAGCAATATCCTATTTGACACTATGGTATATCGTCTACTGGAAGAACAACAGATCATGTATACTCAACACGTATGATTATGATTTTGTGAGTCCCTGACCTGTAGCTGCGAGATGGTCAATAAGGTCCTGGAACTCTGTGGGGACGTCTGCCTGCTTCCATCTCTCGTTGTCCAGGATCAGACTACAACAGACAGGGTTTTCTGTCAATCATCACAAAACCTACACATCAACTGCAGCCTTCACACCATCTCACAATACAGCACCATAAGCAGATGGATAAAAGTACAGCTGCCTACTCTATGAATTCACAAGTAGCAATAAGAATTCTTCCATATACAGTCAACTCTCGTTAATCCGACACTTGTGGTTGCAGAGAAAAATGTCGGATTAATGAAAATGTCGGATTAATGAAAATGTCGGATTAATGTATTTGTGTGAAAATATAAATGTTTACTAAATGTCATGATCGTCATACTGTTGCATGCATATCAGAAATGGTAGATCTAGTTATCTTCATCGTATGTAAATATCATTTATTAACATTCATAGATGGCATAACATACATATATAATCACATAAGCGAACGGTTTCATATCTATCTCATGACCACATTGGCACAAAACTTACGTTTGTTTTTACCACATATCAGCTGCCATTATGACCCGGATGTTGAATATGTTACAGTTTCCATACAACTAATTCCATAATAACATGTGGACGTCTCATGTACAATCAGGCATTTATCATAACATACATAATTTATAACTTGAAAAAGTCTTTGATGGTCATTAACATCAAACATGTCTAAGTGGTGTGTCAGAAATGTTTGCAAAGTGTTCAACAATGTTTTGGCCTCAGATAGCTTGAAGCATTGGAATCAGTTGTAGAGACGCTCAACCACTAAACAGACTGCTTCAGGATGTCAGATACGGTTGATCGTGCAATCTTCACATCAAACTTCTGCTCAGCAAAAGTGATGACTTCTTGTTGTGTTGTCTGGGGTTTGTCTTTCTTCAAAAGAAGATTTCTTTTTTGATCAATGGCGTAACTTCTACAAGGGGTCGCTTAGCAGGGGTGTATTCTTGACAAACATCTTGTGATGAAAACTCATGTCGGTTGTAAACATTTTATACAGCTCGCTCTACTGTTATGTCTTGATTAAATAGTCTCAATTAAGTATCCTGTGTTCCTAATTAACAAGTGTGATGTTCACTGACATCGGTGTCAAGCAGCCAGTAAGGCACACGCTAATTACCACTCACGTGTGATTGTTTGTATACGGTCGGATTATCCGACCGGCTGTGTTGATTGTCGGATTAACGAATGTTTTTACAATGTATTTACAATAATCAGTTGCTAGATTGGAGTGTCGGAGTCGGAATGCGAGAATGTCGGATTAACGAGAGTAATTATCACTGTTTTAAATGGTTCCCTAATTTCTTGTTGGATTAACGTGATTGTCGGATTAATGAGTGTCGCATTAAAGGTCACATGCAACGTAAAACACAACTTTGCAGATTCTGATACCTTTCGGTATGGACATAGCGAAACAAATCGTCAAAAATGCAAATTCAACTTATAAAGTTGAAAAATAACGCAATGAAAAAAAACGCGCGAAATCGGAGTTCAAACGTTTCACTAATTTTCCCCAGACTTTTCTGGGGAATACGGGTTTCAACAGCTGGGCTGCGCTCATAGCACGTGCGAAAGTAAATAGGTTCGCGCAGCTTGGAAGCGGGTTGTCGGGTGAATACTCGGTGAAGGCTTTGGTGTGAGCTATTTTTCTAATGTTTTGTTGATATCTCACGAAGCTGAGCTTTTATGTTATGACAGTAAATAAAATGTTTATATAATTTCAATTGTCTATTTCACCACACGTTCTTCTTACCGCGTCACTTTCTCAGTTCGATACTTAAAAGCAATGTCATTATTTAGAGTTGACACAATTTCTAACTGTGATATAGATATGTCGTTGTCACAGACAAAACTCAATGTCTTGTTTTATTGACACCTGTGTGTCTGCCTGCCTGTCTGCTAATGACAATATTCAATACACAACTCGCGATCACTGACCACATGCAATTTGAACTTAACACCAATCAGGCTATACACCATAAACAAAACGCATTGATTTATGGCCCGAGTTCGGTCTCTGTCACATTATGTAATTACACAGACAGGCAGGTGTGATACTTGAACACATGACATGTTATGATGTCTGTTGATTGCAAAATGTTATACACAAAAAATGAGCATGTATTTACAAAACCCAACATCTCTACACACACACCATGAGCCAGCCGTGAAGGCGGCATTTGCTAATGAACCAGCCGTTACACTTGAGTGCACACCCACCCGCTCTGACTGGGTTCGGTATCCCAGCTGCTTCGTTTCGAGGGAGGTAAACCCAAGTACACAATATTGCACTTTTGATTTGCGATTATACGCTTATAATTTTGTTTATTTGTTTTTTCATAATCAGCAATGCATATTATATGTCATGAAGAAGTGATAATTGTGTTTTAATTATGTTTGATTTTTTGGTTGCATGTGACCTTTAACGAGAGCTGACTGTACTGTAACCCTCCCTTACACTAACAGTTTGTAACTTCCTTAGACAGTGAGTGAAACTTTTTTTCCAGCTACAGCATATTCTATGCTATGCATTCATCATCGGACTGTTAATAATCAGTTTGAACTAAACAAACCAGTGGTTAATAGCATGAACACCAATTCAGATACAATGACAGAAGATCTAACAGCTGGACAAAACATCAAATCAAGAGTCAGTGAGTGTGTGTTGTTTTATGCTGTAGTCAGCAACATTCAAGCTACAAGTATATTCTAGTGGCCATCAGGTTATCAAGGTCAAGGTCAAAGACATCAGGACATGATGAAACACCATCAGCCTGTCAGCAATGGACATCTCTTCTGTGAAACAACTCCACTCCAGGCAGCTTCCACAAAGCGATCTTAGCCTTATTATGATCAAAAGCTCATGTTAACTTTATTTTAGTCATAGTCACATTAGCTTTGAAGAATGGGGGCCCTGAATCCGTATGGACTACCATACCAAGTTTTACTATAACATATCAATTATTTGGCAGTCTGGTACAATGTTATCTTCGCTTGGATAACTTACATCAATATAACCAAAGAGCTCAGGTTAGACCTAAGTTCCTTTGAGAAACATTTCTCAATTCTTTGGTTGCACAGAAGTCTTAAACTGATTTCTAACGTTCCTTACCTGAGTTTGTTTTTCCTTTCTTCGTGGAATCGAGCCACAAACCTGTTTGCCTGTGAAAGTTATAGAAGAGTGAGTGAGTGAGTGAGTTTGGTTTTACGCCGCTTTTAGCAATATTCCAGCAATATCATGGCGGGGGACACCAGAAATGGGCTTCACACATTGTACCCATGTGGGGAATCGAACCCGGCTAACACTAGGCTATCCCACCGCCCCAGTTATAGAAGAAGAAAAAATAGAAGTCACACGAAACCATTTTCACAATCACATCGTGTGATTCTGACTATATTGTAAATATATTGTGCATCAAAAGTGATGCATGCGAATACGAATGCATACGACAATCCGTGCAACAAATTGTGGTGATTACAAATATATTTATGACTGTATTTTAACTAAATTGTAACATGATGAGGTGAGGTGTGGTGACATGGGGTTTAATGTCATGTTCTTGCACATGTATAGTGTGTGTGGGTCTGCTTTACGGCTGGGATGGGTTACCTGGTCACATGGGTCAGGTAAAACATTTCACTAATAAACCACCTGGACCCGTTTCATCACGAGACTTGTCACTTGTAACTGATAGTTAAAATTCATAGAACCAAAGTAATGCACTAAACTTACAGTCTACATTTGATCTTCAATCAAAAAGATAAGCACAACAAGTTGCTCATTCTATTTAAGGCTTTGGGTTACACTGTCGACAACTGGTGCATTATAGGTAGGTGTGTGTCAATCTCAACCAATCACAGTGTCACTGATCATGCTGACAATAACTAGCCAAAACATTAGAAAAAAGTTAATTCATCCATGAACAAACAAATAATTTAATCAATATAGTCCCTTCATGATTCTTTCTGGCATGACATGGATGGAGATCAAGCCATCAACCTTCCATGCTAAGGGCAGACACTCTATCTATTAGATGATGAAGACCATGAACTGCATCCAACAAGGTGGATACTACTGCACTGAACTTGTAGTCACTGTTCACAGTATGATTCTCACCTGGTTCTGTAAACTGCCCCTGAGGGAGGTGCTGGGTCGGCCACAGATGGTCTCGCAGTCACCGACAAAACCCTCTACCTCTCGGCACAAGGCAACGAACTCCGATGAGGAGAGTCTCTCGAGAAAACCATCCTGTTGAGGAACAAATGTGCACAGATCTGTGAATTTGCAAATTTTATGTATCATAAACTCATTTAATAGTTCTATCATAAACAGCAGTTCACAGAAGACCATCCGCCATACTTTGATTGGCATTTATTATACACAACTAACATTTTATCATTATTCGGATATCCAAGGAAACATTTGATATGTGTATGATATTGCTGCATTTGGACCAATCAAGCTAAGACTTTTGACAAATTGTTCTGCAAATATGATTTTAAGAAGACTGACCTTTGCCCTGGCTACCACGACCTTGACACAGCGATCATGAGCATTATCACAGACGGCGCAAAGCATCTCTTTCAAGCCCATGCTCAGTTTGGTGTATTCTGCCTCCGTTATCATCACATCAACATCCTCGCTCCTGGAGGACATGATAGAGAAGAATTGTATTCATAAGTGCCATGGCAACAATGTCCCCATCACTGATAACAAGTCTAGCAATGAAATCAAAATGTTCCATCCACAGGTATCCTCAATTATCCTGTAATGTCTTCTTGATTCTATTTGGATGTTGAAATAACCAACAGTTTTATTCTTTTTCAGGAGTCCTCCTTGGGGTACATATAAGCATTAAAGAGTCCATTTTAAAAACCTACGACAGTTGTAACTATATTTTAATAAAATATTTACAAAACAAAAAACATTTTTGTCTTGTGAGACCACCCCTACAGGGCCCCTCAGAGCCCCCTGCAGGCAAGAGCAGGTAACTCTAGCGATTAACCTCGCACCTCACTTTTCATGCTGAACGGATCAGACAGAATGAGGGGAGGCGGATGGCTGGGAGTGGTATTCTGTCACGTCACATTTCTAATTGAGGCACACAATCCAGTTATCTCTAATTTTGCACAACATTTGTCATATCATTGGTTGGTTCTGTAGACCCATGAATGTACTCACACAGACACATGGAGATGAGAGGGTTCCTCCAGGAATCGCTTGTCCTCCGACGTGGGTGTTGACACAGGTGTTGGCGCCTTTGTCCTCCCTGCTGCAATCCCTATCACATCACTCATTACACCATGGAATGCCTGGAAATACACACACATACTTACAATACAATGCCTACAAAGTATATCATGTCAGGACTCATGTCACACAGGAAACGTGTGCTTGTTAAAAGGTCAAGTTGTCAAGGTTGTGGACAGACTATAATGAGTGAGAGCTGGGATAAAGCCATTTTGAACAACATTTCAGTTAAAATATTCTGTGGGTGGAACAGCCAATGTGATCCATGTTGTTGTATTTTTTAATAATTGAAAACTATGACCTGGACTGACTGAGTTTGGTTTTACGCCGCTTTTAGCAATATTCCAGCAACATCACGGCGGGGGACACCAGAAATGGGCTTCACACATTGTGCCCATGTGGGGATTCGAACCCGGATCTTTGGCCAAAGACCTGGAATGTGGTGTTGACAAACCAAGGATCCTAAACAAGGCAAATCTGGGATTCAAACCTATAGTGGGTCCACACATTGCTGAGATACTTAACAGTAAATTGTATAACGTCTGATAACTGGATCAAACATGCGCATCCAACATTTGGACTGCGGTATAAGATTATATGTAGGAGTATGGGAATCTGAATACCGTAACCAGGATGACAGTGTTACCATGGAAACTGGGGTCATGCTGACCATAGGAAACTTTGTATTAACCACTGAAAGGGCACCAGGATTCTCAACTAATTTGCTCAAAATTGGGATATTGTAAGTAGATTCTAATTTTCAGGGCTATTTTAACATTGCATTCAGTGATATAATGTAAACTAAGCTATAAAGCCTGTTTATTGGCCCTGTTGTCACTAATATACAAATTACCTCTACAAAGCCATAACATTGCCCATAACTAACTATATCAATATGAACAGGAATCTGGTTTAATCCAATTTGGGAATTTTAACTGACATTTGTTGCAGGCAGAATATGAGCTTCCGAGCAGGTCTAGATCAAGTCGTGTATATATCCACCCACCTGAGTCCTCTGTAGGAGCTGCATCATGTTAGAGAAAATGTGCTTTAGCAGAGACATCCACTGTGGGTAGTTGAGGAGACGCATCTGATCCGCAAGGCTGAAATCAACAAAAACTGACATCAGTGTATCTTTCACTCCTTTAACTCCTCTATGATTAAAATGAATTTAACTTGGCAAAATACATAAATTATGTTACATCCAAATCCACTGGCATTTTTAAGACAACTTGCATCATGATCACAAGAACACATAGAAACATGGTACCCCAAGGATACATTTTCCACCATGTCTATTTTTCAAAGGGAAGTAACTCACAGGGCATTTCTTGTATGCCACTAATAATATACCTGAATGTAGACTGCTAAAGTTTCTTCAAAATAACAAAAACAAATCAGTCAAGGAAAGCAAATAGTGACCAAATTCGTTTCAAAGAAAACTTACATAAAAAGACTGATCATAAAAAGAACACAAGTAACCCTAAATTACCTGCCAACATTTCCTTCAGTGTCGATATCATCTGCAGCAGACACAGCTTCCACCACAGTCTGCAACATACACATGTATATGTTACAGTCAGATTGTGAAATCAGTCATTTCGTGAAATGACTCAAAAAGTCAGTCATTTGTGAAATAACTAAGAGGGTCAGCCATTCAACTATCCCTACTGCTCGTTCTCTTTCTTCCTGGGTTAACCTTGGCATTCTCTCTGTGTGACTTTATGTGCAATGATATTGCAGTGTTGGACAGGCCATTTATACTTATTTTTCGCACGATCTTTCCCATGTATCCGACTAAGACATGTGTTTCGTATTTCTGACAGTCGGGGCCACAAAATGTGTTTTGGCGATTTGTTTCGTGCATCACAAACATTGGCAATCGTTATCAAGCATACATGTATTTACATCAGATTTGATGGAAACGTCCAAACCTATTTATATAGCCAATAGTGAAATGGCTGATCCTCTTAGTCATTTCACGAAATGACTGAAATTTTTAGTAATTTCACGAAATGACTGATTTCACAATCTGACTGTAAGATATATAGCACTTGACACAGATTACAGTTATGTCTGCTGGAGTGAGGAGGCTAGAGTATGTTTCACATACCAATATTCTCACAGAGAAATACAGTTTTTAAAGTTACATTTAGGGTACAATTAGCTCTGCACCTTAATTATTGATTCACACAATCAGCTGACAAATTGTGTACACACAGATCTCTCCAAACAGCAATATCTGGCATTTTACCAAATGTGTAACAAATGATGCAGACATAGAGAATACTAAGCGATGTCCAGTGTAATACCATATTTATGAAATGAGTGAATGCTTTGGTATCTAACGAGCGAAAGCAAGACATAGGACACAGGACATAGTATTTTATTTATTACTCACCCAACATTAGCAAAATATTATCAAGCAAAGTACTTCTTTCCTAAGAATTCAATGAGTGTGATGACTCTCAGCTTTCCGCGAGTCAAGCAAGGCCTAATACTATTGTGACAGAGGTATTAGCATTGTGATGTCATAACTGTAAATCACTTTGACGTCATATGCACGGCATCACGCGATGTTATTACACAATGTGTAATAACATTGTAAAATTATTAAACAGTGATATATTCAACGGGTGAGTAATAAATAACATTTCCATATATGTTGTGCTCAGTAAATGTTACATGGCCTTAACCATTGAGCAGGCCTGGATAAAGTCTCTGCATATGAAGAAAATTTGACAGAAACAATGCAAAATGAGACAGGGCTTTTCTCCAAGTCCAGTGGAAGATTTAACTAGCCAGTCTGACATGGGCTGATAGCTTGCACCTCACAATTTACTCATTTACTTTCAACAGGCAAAGACTCCTTACTTCAAATGTAACCACAAACATGAGGAGTGTGCTTGAAGGATGAGCATGAGTCAGAACTCTGACATGGCTGTCTGTAAACACTCTACCTGTTTTATCACAGCCTTGAGAGCAGTAAATGCTTCCTCTCTATAAACATCAACAAAGTTGAGCTTATTCTGTCGAAGGAGTCCAAATAATATTGATACCAGTTTTTCCTGAAAGAGAAATAATACAAATTCTAGTAAAGAGTTTGTTTCACAGTTAAGTTTCTGAAGTTCTACAGTTCTTAAGTTTACCAAATAGTCTCTCACATAATCACATTCCCTATTCTGAAACAGCCTCATGCCTTCTCATAATTGTCCCTTGAACATGATGCATATTCATATACATCAACTGAGGCTTATTCATCTACAACAGCATCCTTCCTGAACAGCATCTTAACCACCCTCTAAATCACACCTGTTTCACTTACCATTGCACGGTGAATATATTCCCATACTTTACATACACTTACAACAGTCATTGTGCTAAGATGCCTTTGTGAACCAGGGCTTTGATTTCAAAGTATCCTTATGGTTCCATTAAAAATGAGAAAAAAATTGTTTCACTAACTCCTGACCTATGACAAGGACAAGGACAAGATTAGTTGATGGGATGGTAGGAAATGAGTTTACATTGAGGTTCATCATACAGGGCTCTCACCTCTCCCGTCAAGACCTCGAGATCTGTGACAGGCCTGTTCAGCTCCGATGTGACGTACTTCAGGAAGTCAGCCAGCAACATCTTATCTATCAACTTCTCCATCTCCGCTAACTGGGACCCGAGGTGTCTAACAACAACAATACAACTCAGTTCATTAGAAGCTTGTACACATGGTTTACTGCATCACATAATAGGATTAAACATTGTATCATGCAAACCTTTGTGACACATTCCACTTGGAATCAACATATTGCCACCTCCTGTTATAAATAAGGTTTGTTTGTTTAAACTTAAATGCTGCACTCAGCAAAATTTCATGTGGACGCTTATGTGCAATGTCCACTGCCATCAGACCCCCCAATCTCTTGGCCCTGTAACTTTGGACAATTCTGACTCAGAATCCCTTTGGGGGATATACAATAACTCACTCACTGATAGGAATGTACCAGGTGTGAAGTTGGGGGGTGCGGGGGTAATGCACACTAACTGTGCACACTCACCCAGTGTGCAAAATAGCCACTGGCCCACTAGCCCATGGCTAGTAAAAATCTAGTCGGGCAGTAAATCTCCACAGTCACTGGCCCGACTGGCTAGTGAAGTTTCATGGGGTCATTTTGTAAATATACTGAGAGAAACAAATAAAGGATCACAGGAAAATTCAAGCATTCCTTTAATATTTTACAGTTTTCATCACCAGCTTTGAATAGCACTGTGGTGATGAAAACTGGAAAATAATAAAGGAATGCTTGAATTTTCCTGTGATCCTTTATTTGTTTCTCTCAGTATATATCACTCTCTGGGGGGTATGTACAACAAGTCCATGTACAATACTCACCTAAAGGAATGTACCCCTGCCAGCTCCTGAGACAATATTTCCTGTGATGTGGAGATGAGATCAAGAGCTCCAACAAACTCATTGGTTGACAACAGAAGCTGTATCGTGGGTTGTGTTTGATGGATAGTTGACATTAACTTTAACTGCAAGAAAATGTCACATTGTTTACAATTTCTTCAGATCAATACTTTCCTCAGATCACCACTGTAAACCATTGTAAGTGAGTACCACAGCAATGTACATCTTCCTGGTCATGTCATTATCAAGCTCCTTCCCAGCATGTGACATCTATGTTACCCTTACGGTGTCAATGTTGTCAATGTTCCCTTTAACCCGAGTTTGGAAATGCCATAATGGTCAACAAATGTTGAACTGAGAAAAGGTTTATGACTAAATCACTAAACAAATTTACATCTGTTAATGACATGGGTTGAGTGTGCAGAAAAAACAGAGTTCCCAATTGCAAGTTAAATCAGAAGCTCCTTACAGCAATAGCTCTGGGCTCTCTTCACTATCACTGCCACTAGTCACAACTGCCTACTTTACAGTGAGTGAGTATGGCCCAGAAATGGGCTTCACACATTGTGCCCATGTGGGGAATCGAACCCGGGTCTTCAGCATGACGGGCGAATGCTTTAACCACTCGGCTACCCCACTGCCCGTCATGGGAAAGACAAGTACATTTGTTATATAAAATGCAGACCTCAAATTAAATTAATGTCAACTGGACATGCACTTACTTTATTATGAAGGTTCACATAGTTTGCTCTCGTTCGTGTTTTGTGCATGATATTTAATGATCCCACCGCTAAACGGTCGTCTAAGGAATGCACTTTATCCCTGAAAAATAATAACATCATGTGTTAATTCTACAAGAAGATATTGATTAACATTACACCAAGTTAAATTACAACCTTGTACTTTCATATAGAGCAGCAGCTGACAGCAACAGTGTGTGTCACTGAAACTCAAGCGCACACTCACACTGCTTGACTTAGGATCTGACAACATGACTTACCTGAGTTGCTTGATTGACGGACAATGTGACTCACACGAGTTGATTAATGGCCTATGTGAGTTACCTTTTAACCTGACAATGTTACTCCCCTGAGTTGCTTAATGGTCTGACAATGGGACTAACTTGAGTTGCTTGACAGCCTGACAGTCTGACTCTCATCAGTTGCTTAGTTCCTTGATAGTCTGACAATGTGACCCATCAGCATTGCTTGATGGCCTGACAATGTGACTCACCTGGGTTGATAGATGGCCTGACAATGTGACAGCTGAGTTGCCACATGTCCTGAAGTTGTGACTCACCTAAGGTGCTTGAGGAAATAACAATGAGACCCACCAGAGTTGCTTGATGGCTGAACAATGAGACTCACCTAAGGTGCTTGAGGAAATAACAATGAGACCCACCTGAGTTGCTTGATGGCCAAACAATGAGACTCACCTGAGTTGCTTGAGGACATAACAATGAGACACAATTGAGTTGATTGAGGACATAGCAATGAGACTCACCTGAGTTGCTTGAGGACATAACAATGAGACTCACCTGAGTTGCTTGAGGACATAACAATGAGACTCACCTGAGTTGCTTGAGGACATAACAATGAGACTCACCTGAGGTGCTTGAGGACATAACAATGAGACTCACCTGAGTTGCTTGAGGACATAACAATAAGACTCACCTGAGTTGCTTGAGGACATAACAATGAGACTCACCTGAGTTGCTTGATGCCATAACAATGAGACTCACCTGAGTTGCTTGAGGCCATAACAATGAGACTCACCTGAGTTGCTTGAGGACATAACAATGAGACTCACCTGAGTTGCTTGAGGACATAACAATCTGAGTTGCTTTGAGGACATAACAATGAGACTCACCTGAGTTGCTTGAGGACATAACAATGAGACTCACCTGAGTTGCTTGAGGACATAACAATGAGACTCACCTGAGTTGCTTGAGGACATAACAATGAGACTCACCTGAGTTGCTTGAGGACATAACAATGAGACTCACCTGAGTTGCTTGAGGACATAACAATGAGACTCACCTGAGTTGCTTGAGGACATAACAATGAGACTCCTCACCTGAGACTCACCTGAGTTGCTTGAGGACATAACAATGAGACTCACCTGAGTTGCTTGAGGACATAACAATGAGACTCACCTGAGTTGCTTGAGGACATAACAATGAGACTCACCTGAGTTGCTTGAGGACATAACAATGAGACTCACCTGAGTTGCTTGAGGACATAACAATGAGACTCACCTGAGTTGCTTGAGGACATAACAATGAGACTCACCTGAGTTGCTTGAGGACATAACAATGAGACTCACCTGAGTTGCTTGAGGACATAACAATGAGACTCACCTGAGTTGCTTGAGGCCATAACAATGAGACTCACCTGAGTTGCTTGAGGACATAACAATGAGACTCACCTGAGTTGCTTGAGGACATAACAATGAGACTCACCAGAGTTGCTTGAGGACATAACAATGAGACTCACCTGAGTTGCTTGAGGACATAACAATGAGACTCACCTGAGTTGCTTGAGGACATAACAATGAGACTCACCTGAGTTGCTTGAGGACATAACAATGAGACTCACTAGAGTTGCTTGAGGACATAACAATGAGACTCACCTGAGTTGCTTGAGGACATAACAATGAGACTCACCTGAGTTGCTTGAGGACATAACAATGAGACTCACCTGAGTTGCTTGAGACCATAACAATGAGACTCACCTGAGTTGCTTGAGACCATAACAATGAGACTCACCTGAGTTGCTTGAGGCCATAACAATGAGACTCACCTGAGTTGCTTGAGACCATAACAATGAGACTCACCTGAGTTGCTTGATGGCCTGACAGGTGTGTAGCAACTGATCCTGGAGTTCGTCATGTGATGTCATTGCATGGAAAAATGCTTCTGACTTGATTGAGATCTGTTTGGCAATCTGAACTTCCACCACATCCAAGTAGTGACTCATCTGAAGCAACCATGTTGAAACATACACACTGATACTTTCATGGCAATAAGATTAGCGACGGATTTCATGTCACTGTAATACTGAGGCAGAATTACAATAGGTGATGATGAGAACCAAGGTGGTAAATATCCTTGAGGAAACCTTTAACCTAACAGGGGTATCATACTGCAGCACGCACGCGCACACGCACACACGCACGCACGCACGCAGGTACACACACAAATAGACACGTGGTTCTATTAACTTCTTCATTATGTAAATACTAAAAGATCCCAGGCTCATAATACATACTGCATCAAGATCTTTCAACATTTTATAACTCTAATGCATGGTATACAGGCTGACAGGAACTCCATTCATATTCATTTCAACCACATTTTCAGTATTTTACATTTCAGTCCTTTGATGTCAGTTGTCAGACAAAATAGTTCCCTCCATCTGATCAATGTAGTAGACAAAGACATACAGGTAAGGTCATCACATTCAACATGAATATACAAAATTGTCTTTGTAGTTATTTGAGTAAAAGTACAGTTTTTGAGTTCTGTTAGTTACAGTCAAAAACAATTCAAACCATATGTAAAGTTTTCATTACAAACATAGAAGTGTTGCCAACATACGGTATGAACATATCAATATCAACCATGTAACTTTCATGATGTTTGTAATCATTTGTTGGGCAATAATTAGGAATTTGATAAATATCATTATAAACTGTGAGGTCATAAACAACATCTGTTATGTCTGGTCAGACTGACATTTTCATGCAACCAAGTACACAAAATCAAAGTATGGTTGACATATTCCTGTAGTGAAGACAGGTGTCTCGAAATAAAGATGTGGGGGGTGAACCCCTTGCAATCCCCCCTACACCTTAGATCCACAGCTATCTCTGAACCTCAACCAGCACGATAAGCTCATCTGGTGACTCATCTCATGACTTGCCTGACAACCTTATTGCAAAATACACCAACATGTGGATAAACATAATATTTACACACTCATCATCATCATAATAATGCTGTAGCTTGATAAAAGCTTGTTTGTATAACACGTTTTACTGGGTTTTATATTCGACCACATTATATAAATCAATATGACACTTAGCTGCCTGTTATCAACGGTCTTATCTTGCTTATCAATGTTTCTAATAAACCCTGCCAAACCTAGATGAAAATGTAAATCATTTTTTACCACAATGATGCAATAATAGGATGAGATATTTAATCAAAATGTATTATAAGTATAGTATCTATATCACCACACTAATATAGATGACATTTTTTACATGTGGCCAAAGTCTGAGCTCTTTTTCATTCGTTTCATGATAAGCCACAGGGGTGGAAATAACTTTAAAATTGATAATGTACTCCGGTACAGTGGCACATGTAAAGTCACTTGCCCTGATAATTTTCCCACTATACCGACCGTTTTCTTGCTGATTTTTTAAATAAACAACATAAATAATATTGGAAAGTCAACTAGACTATGGTACAGTGTGATATACAAATTTGCTTGCCCGACAGAAAAAAACACTGGACTCGGGCAATGGGTTATTTCCACCCCTGAGCCATGAAACAAGTAACTAAGCCTGACGACAATATACATGAAATCACCATTATGAGAAGTATAGCCACTGAGGACCATTTACAGGTTCCCAATTTAACCGCCTCTAACATGAAGCAATAGAGTGCTGTGGACACATTCTAGCCAAGATCTACAGGGACACAAATCATGGCCATCAGTGAATGAGTATTGTTTGACATAGCAATATCTCTGCAGGACTGGCTTCACCTATATTACCCATGTCAACCAACACTTGAGGTTACCCAGTCTGTCTCTGACATAACATAAAAAAATGATCTCTTCATCGCACATCTTCAGGGATAGACAAAGTTAGCTAACAAGTGGATTTTCTTTCAATAACAGTAATCATAATTTAAACTATATTCTGCATGAAGAATAATGACAATTATTATGGATATACAACTTCTTTTATTCTGTGGAGGCGACGTTTCGACATAGGTTCTAATGTCGTTGTCAAGCAAGTGTGATGTTTCGACATAGGTTCTAATGTCGTTGAGACTTGCTTGACGACATTAGAACCTATGTCGAAACGTCACCTCCACAGAACAAAAGATGTTGTATATCCATAATAATTGTCATTATTCTTCATCAACTCAACATCTAAAATGCCTGTCAAAGAAGTATATTCTGCATGTTTTATGTGTTGCTTTAAGCCGCAGTAATAATTACTTAAGCTATATTTAACTTATTTTGTTTGTTGTTACTAGGGCTGCACAATATAACCGGTTTACAAGTATTTACCGGTTCAGACATGAAAATGATATGTATTGCGATACGCTGATAAAAAACCAGTATTTTGACTTGCATTTGAAAAACTTCGTAACACTCGGAAATCTTCGGATATTTCCTTGTTTCATTTGTGCCAAATATTATTTACATTTCTATTTTGTCATGATTAAGGGACCGTTCATAATTTATGACTAGGGGAGGTGATGATGATTTTTATGGAGAAGCATGTACAATGTGAATGACCTCCCTAAAATTTCTGTATAAAATAAGTGACCCTCCTGCATGTTATGTACAAAATCAATTACCCCCCTTCCCTTCCCATAATTTCTAAGCATAACTTTAAACATATTTTTATGTACAAAATTGCTGACCCCACCCTAGCTCCCCAGGACAAAATGGGTGACCCCCCTTAAAATCATCATCACCCCCCAGCTATAAATTATGAACGGTCCCTAAAGGTTGTAGTTAAAGCTTAATCAAGCATAGTTATTTTGTTGTGTTTTTGCTCTATAAATCAAGCTTTAACTCAATTATAAGTAGTTTTTTTGCTTAAAATACTTCTTGCGATATATGACCCATGAAGATCCGGGGTTGAATAGGTCTTCAGCAACCCATTCTTGTCCTAAAAGGTGACTATGATTGTCGTAAAAGGCGACTAATGGGATAGGGTGGTCATGCTCGCTGACTTGGTTGACACATGTCATCGGTTCCCAATTGCGCAGATCGATGCTCATGCTGTTGATCACTGGATTGTCTGGTCCAGACTCGATTATTTACAGACCGCCGCCATATAGCTGGAATATTGCTGAGTGCGGTGTAAAACCAAACTCACTCACTCACTCACTCACTCTTGCGATATATTGCAATACATATCGCATCACAATATATCGCAATATGTAATTTTTAGAGTAAAATTGATATTTTATACTTATCCTGACTCATGCTCTTTTGCCTGTCTCCTTCCTCTTGCGAACATAGTGGAAACACTTGTATCTCCCTAATTGAAGTTCCCTTCAATGTAAAATAAATAATTAGCACTCACCACGAGTTATCTCCCTTCCACAAGCGCGGGAACGAGGGCGCCACCTCTACCCATGTGCCTCACTCTCTCCTCATATACTGAGCCCAACATTTGAATTTACAGGGAAATCCAAAGTGTTATGTGGGGAGGATGGGAGGGCTGACCTCATGAGTCAGGATAAGTATAAAATATCAATTTTACTCTAAAAATTACATATTTTTCCTTATCCTGACTCATGCTCTTTTGCTTGTAGAATCCGACGGAAAGGAGGTGGGAATATATATACTTTGAATTTTTAATAATTAGTGATTTGAACTGTGATGATTGTAATAACCCTATGGGAACTTCATAAAGGCACTGAACTGATGAATTCCTGCTGCTAACTTATCAGCTGCCATATAAAGGTTATTACAATGTACTTATTATGATAAAGTATATATAACATTAATACAATGCTTAAGACTAATAGACTTAAGCTTGTTAAAATGCTAGTATAAACTCCTTAGAGTTTGTTAGCTAAAATACTTTAAGATATAAACATAGTACTAAGCTTAAGATATGATTAAACTTAAGCTAATTAAAATAGCAAACTCTATAGAGTTTGTTAGTTAATATACTTATATGACATAGATATAATGCTGAGCTTAAGATATGAATAAGCTTTAGCTACATATATAATAGCAAAACTCTGTAGAGTTTGTTAGCTAATATATTTTTACAATATGAGTATAGTACTGTGCTTAAGATATAATTAACTTAAGCTACATATATAATAGCAAAACTCTGTAGAGATTGTTAGCTAATATATTTTTACAATATGAGTATAGTACTATGCTTAAGATATAATTAACTTAAGCTACATATATAATAGCAAAACTCTGTAGAGTTTGTTAACTAATATATTTTTACAATATGAGTATAGTACTGTGCTTAAGATAAAATTAACTTAAGCTACATATATAATAGCAAAACTCTGTAGAGTTTGTTAGCTAATATATTTTACAATATGAGTATAGTACTGTGCTTAAGATATAATTATCTTAAGCTACATGTACAATAGTCAAAAACTCTGTAGAGTTTATTAGCTAATAGATTTATAATGTAACCCTAGTACTAAGCTTAAGATAAGATTAGACTTAAGCTAAATGTATATAGCAAAAAAAAAAAAAACTCCTTAGAGTTTATTAACTAATATACTTTTATGTTATAAACATAGTACTGAGCTTAAGATATGATTAAACTTAAGCTATATATATATAATAGCAAAACTCCGTCGAGTTTTGTTAGCTAATACATTTTATAATGTAAACATACTGCTTAAGATATGATGAAACTTAAGCTAATTGTATAATAGCAAAACAAAACCCTTTAGAGTTTGTTAGCTAAAATACTTATATGATATAAACCTAGTATTGAGCTTATGAAGGAAAACTTAAGCTACATATATAATAGAAAAAAACTCCGTAGAGTTTGTTAGCTAATACATGTTATAATGTAACCATAAAGCTTAAAATATGATGAAAACTTAAGCCAAATATATAATAGCAAAACCTCTCTTTAGAGAGTTTTGATAGCTAATATACCTATATAATATAAACATAGTACTGAGCTTAAGATATGAATAAGCTTAAGTTACATATATAATAGCAAAAACTCTGTAGAGTTTGTTAGCTAATACATGTTATAAAATAGCCATATTGCTTAGAATATGATGACACTTAAACCCAATAGCAAAAACTCTTTAGAGTTTGTTAGCTAATATACTTATATGGTATAAACATAGTACTAAGCTTAAGATATGCATAAGCTTAAGCTACCTATATAATAGCAAAACTCCGTAGAGTTTGTTAGCGAATATATATTTTTATAATATGAGTATAGTACTATGCTTAAGGTATAATTAACTTAAGCTACGTATATAATAGCCAAAAACTCTGTAAAGTTTGTTAGCTAATGCATTTATCATGTTACCATAGTACTACTCTTAAGATATGATTAACTTAAGGTAAATATATAATAACAAACTCTGTAGAGTTGTTAACTTATATATTGTATGATGTAATAATCATAGTACTGTGATGATAAAAGGAACTTAAGCAAATTATATATAGCATGTAGCTATTTAGTACTGTTATAAGATAAGTAGAAAACTGTAAAATTGACTTATCTTCTCCGAGGAACTGTCAATTGTTGTGCGAGGACCATGGGATCGAATTGGTGGATACCTGAGACGTCCTCAGTGGTGATATCTCTCAGATAATGGTTGGCAACCACCATATCGGATCTCCAGAAATAAACCCTCCATTATTCCAAATAACATTAGTGTAGATCAATTGTAGAAGTTAAGCAGCTCTAATATCATGAGTATTAAAAGCTCATGGAGGGTCGGATTAGGTCCATCCGTCTTGTATGCACATAGTATGACAGTTCTGATCCAAACGGAGATATAGTACATTGAGACTTCATTCTGCCTAAGTTGATGATAGAGGAAATAATCTGTTGCATTTTCCCTTCCTGTTTGGTTCGGTGGAGATAAATTTACAGTGCTCTTGCTGGCCATCGTGATAGAATCATCGTATCATGGAGCCCAAGTATGTCATCCAGGCGTGTTCATAAACCTCACTTGTGAGGTGTTGGAGCACTATATTCAGATCCCCAAGTTGGAGTGTGAAACTTCCGTTTTAATTCTCCAATCAGAAAGCTTAAGTAGGTTACTAACCATCTAGTTGTGTTAGTAGCTTGATGATGAAATTCAGCTGTAGTCTGAGACGCTGTGGATTTAGATCCACTTGTATCCCGTCGTCTAGGTAATTCGCTGCGAAGTCCTTGACGATGTAGGTTCACAACCAGGTGTGTCTGTCCTCGTGAACTTTATGAAAAATCGCCTGACTGCCGTGCCCTCGTCTTAACTTGACAGGGGAGGTTTCTAACCTGAAGAAAGCAGCCTAATCATGAAGGTTCAGGTTAACTGGACTGTAAGGAGGCTTGCTCGTTCACTGATATATAGTTGTCACTTGTGACGTAAGTCTTGCACTGTGAACTAAGATCGACCTCTACGTAGGGCGTTGTCCATCGCGGTCCAATCAGAAGAAGGCATTTTGATTCTGTATAATACCCGCGCTGTGATGTCACCGGTGTAGTAGGAAAAACCTTGTATAAAATCTTGCCGTCGTTGATATTAGCATAAACGTCGGTCTTCACCGTAGCTTCCCGAAGTTACCCGAGTGACCACGTGTTTCGAGGGTTAGTGGTAAACGCGCGAAACCTTTGGCGCGAAATACCTCGCTTTGTAATATTAATGCTGGGTAGGTTATTTTCCTGGCTGTCGTGAAAGTAACTTCAGTTTTGAATATAATTCCGACTTCCTTATATAAAGGTACAATAAACTTGCAAGTTGTCAGCTTGTAGACTGTATACATGAATGTATCGTCATAATTGTAGAATTAAAGCTGAACTTGTTGTACATATTTCTTCTCAGAAACGTTGACGATTAAGAGTTATACTCGCTGTAACAAGACTGCTGTTCAATTTCGATATTGAATTGTCTGCAGATATGCGTAATGGTCACGCATGTAGATAATCGTATCGTCGTCCGGGATTGCATATTCTAGCAATTTATACGGAATAGTTGATTTCTGTGAAGATCTATGAAACGTCGTTGACTAAATAATACAGCGACGTTCTGTGTTGTAAATAGCCTGTGCAATTGTCTTCGCGTAGGCTTATAGACGGCATCTGACATACAGTTGATAGACAACTTATGCGATGTGTTGAATGGACTGACGAGTAGCTATATATGACGAGTGGCTAGTATATGGAGACCTTGGAGGAAACTTCCTCGGTGAATGCCGGAGACTTCGCGAAGCTCTCGAAGTATCCCTTCTAGATTTTCTGGGTGAAGTAGACTTGCAGCCACTTAGCCTTCGCGACCTTCGTGAAGGTATCGAGTCAAAGCCCGATTAGTATATATATATATATATATATATATATATATATATATATATATGGCGCTTGCCCATGACGACCTCTGTGTTAAACAGGATGTGGGGTCGTGGCGCTTCTACTCCTTAATGTCCCTTGTAGCTGGTGAGGCTCTAGCTCCTTTCGGTGACCTGGGACTTGCTGGTTGTGCATAAGTAGGGCCGAGTGGATCATCTTATCTTCAGAAGTAGGTATTCTGAAGCCTGGTGATAAGTGTCTTCTTGATCGTTCTAGATCTATTTAGGCCAGAGAACATACGTCTCGTCATGGATTCAACTGAACCAATTTACGATTGTAGTTCTTATTCTTGATATCGATGATCAACTTGTCTATGGGTTGATCTTCTCGGAGACTTGTGAGGAGAACGTTGATAGCTTCGCGAAGCTCTTGTGTAGTCCCTCGATGTCCTTCTAGATGATGATGATCTGGATTCAGGTGTCCTTCGCGAATGCCTTCGCGAAGCTTCCTCTGCGTCCGGTCCGGGGGAACGACAATATGACCTTCGCGAAGGCTTCCGTGATGTCTGATGGTCCGAATCCACATCTAGGGATGAAACCGAAGAAGGCGATGATCTATGCCGCCTTAGCGAAGTCCTTCGCGAAGGCTGTACATCTAGGTCCTTCCCGCCTTCTTGTGGCGTACGTCGGGGATGATGATCGGCTGATCATCGTAGAGGTCCAATATCAATATATAATTGTTGAAGGATACTAGCTAAACCTCTATAGATGTCTATACGAGGTAACTAACTAAATATAAATCAAAGGATATAGTGTCGGGAGACACAGGCGCTCTCACGTCCAGCTCACATGGCGAAGAAGGAGAGAGTGAGGCACATGGGTAGAGGTGGCGCCCTCGTTCCCGAGCTTGTGGAAGGGAGGTAACTCGTGGTGAGTGCTAATTAGTGATTTTACATTGAAGGGAACTTCAATTAGGGAGATACAAGTGTTTCCACTATGTTCGCAAGAGGAAGGAGACAAGCAAAAGAGCATGAGTCAGGATGAGGAAAAATATGAAAATTCTCTGCAATACCCACCCCTGGTTGTTAAAGCTATAATAATCATTACGGAAGCTATATCAGGGCAGCCCGTCCATGTAAACCAATGGTCAGAGTCATGAGCACATCCCATGCTGGTCACGATGACAAACTACAAACTGGTCACCGAGCAATACCAATACAGCTGAGAACTTTTTCTGGTTGGTTAGTTTCTTGTTTACTGCTGCACTCAGCAATATTCCTGCTCTATAGTGGCTGTCTGTAAATAATCCAGTCTGGACCAGACAATCCAGGAATCAAAGTCATTAGCATCGATCTACACAATTGGGATATGATGACATGCATCAACATAGTCAGCGAGCCTGACCACCTGATCCCATTAGTGGCCTCTTATGACAACCATCAGGGCTCGACTTAAGAGATGTTTACCTACTTGCACCAGGTGCAACCTAAGATAAAGACCTAGTTGCACCAGCCAAATTCCAGTTGCAACGTAGTTTGTTAAAACGTTTCGGTGCACATAAACCTTAATCAGTGATGTAGGGCCCATGAAACCATAGCAACACTGAGACACAGCTGATCCCTGTTTACAAGAGCTGTCATAGCCGAGACGTGTTTATGAATAGCAGTGTTTCGTTGCCATAGCTATTCAAAGTTTAGGAGAAAAATGGGCTGGCATATTTATGCATATGTTAGATTTATTAGGTTGTATTTTGTAATATTGGGTTGCACCAGTGTAAGTAACAAACCACTAAATCGAGCCCTGACCATGGGTTGCTGAATACCAATTCTAACCACGGGCATCACTTTTTCTGACCAGAGTTAAACAACATGTACCAACAACCGGTAAAACTTCAAACTGGTCCAAGCAAACCTGTCGTTGACTGCACGAACACACAATCAGCTAGGCACACACACTCATCTCATTGTTATGCTCTTACAAAAAGCATGGGGTCTCTGAAATCATGAGTGTAAGCTGAACTGGATGAATGTCTGAGACACAGAACAAACATTTCAAATGCAAAAGCTGAGAATAAACCAAACTCACCCTTTCTTGCAAAAGTTTAGATGACTGCTTGGTCTCCCCTGCCCCTGACATGGACTGTTCCACTTGTGTCCATGGAAACACAGAATTGAAGGTATCGAGGTTTTCCAGTGAAAAATTTGGCATCATAAACAACTGAAAAAAAAAGAGCACTTACATGAAAAACAACAGCAAAAATAGATTTTTACATCAAATCTTTAACTTTTATGCGTCACATGATCACTTGTTTCTCCAAGAGTTGTGTTAAAATCTATTTGTTCAGTTGCCAGGGTAATTTTTCAACCTAAATAAGATTGTGGTTTCAGAACACATAAGTTTATAGAATCTATATTTGTGCAGAAACACATGTACAAGTCGTAGTAACTGAACAAACAAACATAACAACTGGTAGGATTATCAATGTTTAGTCATTGTTCACCATTCTATGACTTTACTTCATTAACCATAGCAAAATCAAAAATGTTTTTTCAATGCTGTTCTGCTTACTATCCACTTCCTGCGTTGAACAGTTCACAATGATGGAAGTAAAATTGTCTGAGTAATCATGGTAATGGGGACAGTCAGCATTTATGACATAGCAGCACATCTGATATCAAACTGATTCTTTAAAGGCACAATGTCACACCGAACTTCTCTAAAAATAATTAATGCATTTCTCTCAATAATACTAACTATCAGCCCTCATAGGGGAAGCTACCATATAATTTATTACCCCCAAAATCACTTATTTAGATTACAATATTAAATCAAAAAGTTCGAATGAATAAATGCAACGTTGCATTAAATCGACACTCATGCCCTCTACCAGCTGAACATTATTTCAAGCGAACACCTCAGGGTTATGTCCCTTGGAGAGCCCTTTTCGGATATCCTACGAACAACATGTGATTGAAACCGGCAAACACCGACAGCACCATGTGCGACAATTTCTGATGTACAGAGCAATTGTTCCATATATGGCAAGTGTTCTCTGTTTGGAAACTGTTCGCCTCAAAGTTTCAATTATCGATTTCCGGCAAGTCGTAAGGAATAATAGGAAGCTTAAGTGAGAGCATATGCACCAATTTATATAATATAGGCCAAAATATTTTCAAAAATGTGTGACATTGTGCCTTTGAGCAGTACTTATTGCTTGTATCAAATACACAAAACCATAGCTTCTTAGATAATAGGGTTTGACTAGGGGTGAAACGGTTTACCGCGGTATTAGTAGAACCGCTGTATTTTGCCTTCGGTTCCTTATACCGTAATGCAATCCAAAAAATCAGTCTTTTCGGTTTTCATACCGTCATTTTATTAACCTTCACCAAAATGTCTAGAAATTGAATCATTTTGTCAAAATCTATCGTTTTCTTTTCTTTTCTTCATTATGATCATATTTCATCTACCGAACCGAAACGGACCGAACCGAAACGGACCGAACCGAAACGGACCGAACCGAAACGGACCGAACCAAAACGGACCGAACCGAAGGTCTTGTACCGCAATACGTGCCGTACGGTGGTAAGAGCGTACCGTTTCACTGCTAGGTTTGACTGTTGATGTTCAAATGCAATGGATTCAGGTAAACAGACATAAATGGAGGACAAATGACAGCTGGGTCTAAACTTCTTTTACACTCTTAAATGTCGTTTATGCTTTTCCTGTACCACAAAGTTACTGCATATCAAATTTCATAATGATTCTTGAAAAGATGAGACTGGGGAAAAAATGACATTCTGGACATAATTGACATTGCAGCCATGTTTAAATCGGCTCAGAATCTTTTGAGCACTTTCAAAAGCCTCATCACTCATCTTCCAGCAGATGGATGTCTAACACATTAATCTCAGGTGAACTGTCGTTTATCTACAAATGTATGCAATATGCATGTTATTTTTATCAGCATTTACGACGATGTTGGTGTAGAAACAGGAGCGTACCACCAGCAATATTGAATTGCATGAAATGCACCACCTGTTGCCTGTCTGTCTACAACTACAGTAGGTTATGAAATGGTCACCAGATGGCATTGACGTGTTGTGCTTGCCATGAATTGAATCGCCCTGTTCTTGTTATTGATCCATCTAAGCACGGATTATTCACATGACATCTTTCCATGTAAATCAATTCTAAAGGTTCAATTTTCATTGATCACTTTTGAGTGGATTATAAGCCTTAGATGTAAAGGAATCACTATTTTGGCTAGAATTGCATGAATTTAAAAAAAAAAGAGAGAGAGTTGTTTTGTGATTAAATTATATTTTTTACATACCGAGAAACCCTGATTATTAGAAAATGATGGGACCAGAAAAAAATCTCTATGTAAGATTGAGAACAATATTATGGATATATAACTTCTTTTTTCTCTATGGGCGACGTTTCAACATAGATTTTAATGTCGTCAAGCAAATGGCATTAGAATTTATGACAAAACATCGCCTATACAGAATAAAGAATTGGTATATCCATAAAATTGTCCTCACACTTCATCTCCTCAACTTCTAGAATGCCAATCAATGAAGTCATTCGACTTGCTTGCATAATTGAATTATCAAACTCATATCTTAATTGTTTCCATTTGTAAAAAACATTAGTAACCCATTCTAGAATGGTCCAATCAACTGTCAAGAGACATCTTAGACACGGCATTGACATGGTCGGGGATCGAACGAGCGACCTTCTGCTCTCCGGGCGGATGCTCAAACCACTACACCACAGAAATGGTCTAATAAGGCAGAGCCTTAAGTCAGTAGGCCATTGGATTGAGACCATAAGTCAGTAGGCTAAAAGACTGTAAGTCAGCAGTAGGCTATAAGATTAAGTAAGAACCACTTGTAATTTTGTTTTAGTTTCAAAATGTGCAATATATTCTCACTTTACACAAACCGTACTCAACAGAATTCAACCTTCTACATTAAGCTATCTAAATTTGCATATTGTGTTTGTAATTTGGTTTACGCCAGTTAGTACAATCCATCAGGACCCTCATACTATGCTGAATAGTCAAGGATGCGAATCACTTTTTGTACATAATTTGTAACTTGAACCAGACAGCTGAACATTATGCATAGATTGCTGCTCATTGACTGCATCTGGACAACTTGTCAACACAAAATTGACAATGTTTCCTTATCCATGAAGATAATATTGATAGGTTTTGGCAGCAGGTGCAGTTATTAATTACTTTCATTTGATACAAGGATGTGTATCTATTTGATCATATTACATATTGTTTAAAATAAAAACATAGGAATTAGTTAGATGAGCCAAATACAAGATAAACAGACACTTGTGGTGGAACTTCCAACAATGTCGACTGAACATAATTGATCAATTTATCCAAGCTCACAGCAAACCAGCAGATACCATTGATACAAGATATTCACAAAAGTAAAACAAAGATATATTAATCAGCATGGTCAAAGTACAAAGGTTATATTGAGGTAAAAAACTTAACTGCATAAGACCAAGCATATGTATTGAGCCCGGCTACTAACTAAAATGAACTACAGTTTTAACAAACTTCAAGCGACCACTATCTAACATTAAAAACATTTCGTCAGTCATCTTCGATCAAGTCATGTGATGAAGTCATTTGACCCCATAAATAACAAAAAATGTCCACTGAATCATGCGCAGAATGTTTTAACTTTGTACAGCTTTAAACCACTCAATAAACCCGTCATCTTAAATTAGGTCATGTAACAACATAAATAACATAAATGTCCACTGAATCATGTGCAGAATGTTTTAACTTTGTACAGCTTTAAACCTCTCAATAAGCCAGTCATCTTCCATTAAGTCATGTGACTAAGTCATGTGACGACATAATAACAAAAATGTCCACTGAATCATGTGCAGAATGTTTTAACTTTGTACAGCGTTAACCCCCTGGATGCCGAGTTTTTTTCAGGCGCAAATTTTCATACAGTTTGAAAAGTGAACGTTGTGTGAGAAATGCGCTCGCGTGGTCCTGGATCTATGTACGGCTATAAAATTACACAGAAATGTAGAATATTAAATTTCCTATCTTTACGGAAAGTGTGAGCAAAGAAAATACAGCATGATATTTGAACGACATAAGTGTATATGAATTAGGTTTATGTGCTTATGCATACCGTTATACACTCAACATTAAAAATGACTCGCAATAAATGTCAAAAATGGATTTTCTTCTATGAGGTCAAACGACGTATAATCATAAGGGGGGTATAACTCCGTTATGCTTAACACTAGGTCAATGTAACTCAGATCACTTGGAGATAATTTGTTGTGGATACGGACGCTATATTTTCGTTATTTTTTGTTCCCGGTGAACCAACCTAGTCCAATTCAAAATTCCCCAATGTAAGCGGATACGATTTGGTAGTCTCACAATTTATAAGAAAGATGACAACGTACTACATGTGAAAGCAAGTAATAACGATTTGGATGGCCCTATCCGATATATAAGTTAGTTCTTATATTCACATATTCTCCTGTTTGTTGCATCGTTATTACCAGAATACTAACCATATCTTCAAATGTAATGAAATTGCTGAAAATAAATCAACATTTTAGTTGATGTCATTGCTTGTTTTATGCATTTTGCGACATCGGAAAAAGAGGACATTGGTATGCTGATTAGTTTATATCTCACCTAATTTTCATTAATTGTATAAAAGGTCTCGGCTTCTATGTCAGAATTTAACACTCTTTAGACAAAACATAAAATTACTGATTTTAACATTTAAATATCAAACAATTAGATCAACAATTAGATGGTTTGACTGTGTATCTTATTGTGAGCAACACGCATACCTGTTTGGCATCAATTTAACGTAAATGAAAAATCATATTTCACAACACCCGAATATTTTGTTTAGGATAAGAATTTTCTTTGTTTATGATTATGTAGCTATTTCTCTTCATATGTTTGCAATGAAAGATTCAAAAAGATAGCTTTTTATATATGGACCTATATATTAGACTATGGATGTAAGATTTGTCCAAATTAAGACATGACATGGTTTATACATTTTTAAACAGTTTTCGAATAAATGTAGTTAGAGTTTGATATCCTGTCATCACAATATTTTTAAATTGAATATGAACTGATTATATTATCGAAAACAATGATAGCGAATCATAAAACGTTTCCAACAAACGCGCACCTGGCCAATCAATATACACCATTGTTTTGTCTATAAAACGACACAAAAATCTGCAATGAACAAGACAATTCCTTTAAATATGTGTGCATATACATTTCATAACATACATAAATCAGTTTCATTAATATTATCAGTTTTACTTATAAGGTTGAATTAAATCGCCGTTCATTAACCTGTTCATATGAAACTCCAATATTAGTCCAAATACATCACAGGAACTAAAGTAGTTGCAGTTATGGCTACATTTGATCTTCTAACACTTGTGTGAAGTTTTAGGATATGGTGTGCCGCACTAAATGTGTCAATTTCTTATGTAAATATTATTCAAGCAATCAAACACTTTCAAAGAATAAAACATCGTAAACCCTATATGCACGTATGATATGATATTGAACAAGGCTAAATGTAGATACTGAAGTCAGTTTCATTAAAAATTATCTGAACAATACGCAAAATATACATCATCATACTGACAGTGTAATCGGAAGGATTGGGCAATTGTGTTTACTCTTGTTCAACCGACCTTCACCTCAAAGAAATTGCCTAATATGACAACAATGTTGACGTATGACATCACTACCGTTGACCGATTTCTTACAAAATGGCGGCTTTGCTGACAAGGGTACACAGGATTTTGCGAGGATCCTTCCATTGATTCAGGGATCGTTTGTACATAAATATGAGATATAAGTAATCAGATTGATTCTGACTATCTGTGTATTGTTATATGTTTTTTATCGTTTTCATTATAAGTAAGAGAAACAGCCAGAAATGCAGATAAATACCGTTGTCGCTCTGCCTGATTTTGCGTCAGTCATGGCGTCACGCTGCACGGAAAGTTTGACAATTTCTTATGAATTATCATATCATTGCATTGTATCTATTTATAATTTCCTATTTCTTGCTACGATACTCTTTCCATGCATATTCCAAAGGTATTGAGCCATTGCAAGCAATGAATAGACGGATGAATACTACGCAGTGTAAAATCGGGAATTTGTCTTTGTTTACATTTCAAACAAACTTAGTGTTTTGAGCACAGCGTTCGTTTTCACACCAAATATGTTTTGTCACATTTTATCTAGACAGTTGGTATTGGTGACAAAGACCAGTTGCAATTTGATTCTAAAATGTATGGGGAATTCAGTGATGCATTTTTCGAAGCTGAATATGAAATATATGTGATGTAATACCGGCCTCGCGAAACGTGATTTTGTAAACACTATCCAATATGGTGGAAAGCGCTCTACGGCGTTCGTGTAAGTGTATTTTCGAAAACATCCCAACTGATTCTAGATTCATCGGCAATGTTTCAGAATTATCATTAGTGATTTCATGAAAAACTGATATCAGTGATCATGAGTATGTTATTTTTGAAATTGAATACTCCCAGTAGTTATCCGATATTCACATTTCAAAACATACAGCAAATAACGCTGTGAATCGCGATTTCGTACTGTGTCAAAATATGGCGACATTTTCGATGAAGCCTATTTTGAAAAGTCATTTTCAGCACTTGAGCTTTGCCTAAAATAATAGTGGATGGTATCAAGAAACAGGAAATGTCCCACAGAATTCGAGACTGTGAAGTGTATTTGTGCATGTGTAGAATGTATTCACTCGGTACATTTTAAACCTCTCAATAAACACATCTTCTGTATTATGGTCTGCTCAGGTGACTGGGGCTTGTCAATGATTATGAAAGACTCTTTCTGCTTTCATGGTTGTGCTCAAAGTGTGTGTAGGGATACCATATTCAACATCAATTTCTGATGTTGATATTTTTACATTATCAATACAGAAGTGAGTTTTTCTGTTGCGTTTTAGCCAGTAACCGCACAACAGTTGACGTAAGAAATCGGCACCACACATTTTACTAACACACTAACTTGCTGTTTTTTTAACACACGCCAGGTATTGGGATAGAGAACTTTGACAATGGGCCATTTTCTGGATTATTAGCCATTTTCTAAATTTAGAATGGGTCACTGCCATTGTATCAATAGTAAAGTTCAAAATTTTAATGGTCCATTTTTTATTCTTATGTGTAAAATAGTTCATGGCCCCCTGCCTTTCCCAATCCCTTAACTAAACAATACCATGGTCATAAGACAATGGCCTGTAAATAATCAATCTGAAATGACAAGCTGGGGAATCTCCTTTGGGGTTAAGTCAGACTGACTGAGTTTGGTTTCACGCCGCTTTTAGCAATATTCCAGCAACATCACGGCGGGGGACACCAGAAATGGGCTTCACACATTGTACCCATGTGGGGATTCGAACCCGGGTCTTCGGCGTGACGAGCCAACACTTTAACCACTAGGCTACCCCACCGCCCCAGTTAAGTCAGATGTGCACTGAGGATGATTTGAAATATACTTACTTTGGGGATTTGGTCTAGTTCAGCTCTGTTCTTTTCTGAAAACAAAACATCAATTCAGTTGTTGAATCTTTGAGGGGCATTTAGAAGTGATACACATAAAGGTGAGAATTTTATGGATGTCAACTTCTTTATTGTGATGGACACGATGTTTTGGAGTATATTCTTTCTCCTTCATCAGTATCTTTCTCCTTCATCAGTATCTTACTCCTTCATCAGTATCTTACTCCTTCATCAGTATCTTACTCCTTCATCAGTATCTTACTCCTTCATCCCTTCATCAGTATCTTTCTCCTTCTTCAGTATCTTACTCCTTCATCAGTATCTTACTCCTTCATCAGTATCTTACTCCTTCATCAGTATCTTACTCCTTCATCAGTATCTTACTCCTTCATCAGTATCTTACTCCTTCATCAGTATCTTACTCCTTCATCAGTATCTTACTCCTTCATCAGTATCTTTCTCCTTCATCAGTATCTTACTCCTTCATCAGTATCTTACTCCTTCATCAGTATCTTACTCCTTCATCAGTATCTTACTCCTTCATCAGTATCTTACTCTTATCTCCTTCAGTAGTATCTTTCATCAGTATCTTACTCCTTCATCAGTATCTTACTCCTTCATCAGTATCTTACTCCTTCATCAGTATCTTACTCCTTCATCAGTATCTTACTCCTTCATCAGTATCTTTCTCCTTCATCAGTATCTTACTCCTTCATCAGTATCTTACTCCTTCAGTATCTTACTCCTTCATCAGTATCTTTCTCCTTCATCAGTATCTTACTCCTTCATCAGTATCTTTCTCCTTCATCAGTATCTTACTCCTTCATCAGTATCTTACTCCTTCATCAGTATCTTTCTCCTTCATCAGTATCTTACTCCTTCATCAAGTATCTTTCTCCTTCATCAGTATCTTTCTCCTTCATCAGTATCTTACTCCTTCATCAGTATCTTACTCCTTCATCAGTATCTTTCTCCTTCAGTATCTTTCTCCTTCATCAGTATCTTTCTCCTTCATCAGTATCTTACTCCTTCATCAGTATCTTTCTCCTTCATCAGTATCTTACTCCTTCATCAGTATCTTACTCCTTCAGTATCTTACTCCTTCATCAGTATCTTTCTCCTTCATCAGTATCTTTCTCCTTCAGTATCTTACTCCTTCATCAGTATCTTACTCCTTCATCAGTATCTTTCTCCTTCATCAGTATCTTTCTCCTTCATCAGTATCTTACTCCTTCATCAGTATCTTTCTCCTTCATCAGTATCTTTCTCCTTCATCAGTATCTTACTCCTTCATCAGTATCTTACTCCTTCATCAGTATCTTTCTCCTTCATCAGTATCTTTCTCCTTCCTTCAGTATCTTTACTCCTTCATCAGTATCTTTCTCCTTCATCAGTATCTTACTCCTTCATCAGTATCTTTCTCCTTCATCAGTATCTTACTCCTTCATCAGTATCTTACTCCTTCATCAGTATCTTACTCCTTCATCAGTATCTTACTCCTTCATCAGTATCTTTCTCCTTCATCAGTATCTTACTCCTTCATCAGTATCTTACTCCTTCATCAGTATCTTACTCCTTCATCAGTATCTTTCTCCTTCATCAGTATCTTACTCCTTCATCAGTATCTTACTCCTTCATCAGTATCTTACTCCTTCATCAGTATCTTTCTCCTTCATCAGTATCTTTCTCCTTCATCCGGTATCTTTTCTCCTTCATCAGTATCTTCTCCTTCATCGGTATCTTTCGCTCTTACTCCTTCATCAGTATCTTTACTCCTTCATCGGTATCTTCCTCCTTCATCGGTCAAATCTTATCTCCTTCATCAGTATCTTCCTCCTCCTTCATCCAGTATCTTACTCCTTCATCAGTATCTTTCTCGGCATCGGTGTCTTAATATTATCTTTCATCTTTCTCCTTATCTTTACTCCTTCATCAGTATCTTCTCCTTCATCGGTATCTTTCTCCTTCATCGGTATCTTTCCTTCATCCATCTTTTCCTTCATCCGGTATCTTTCTCCTTCATCAGTATCTTGCTCCTTCGTAATCCAGTGTCTTTCTCCTTCATCAGTATCTTTCATCCTTCATCGGTATCTTTCTCCTTCATCAGTATCTTTCCTCCTTCATCAGTATCTTCTCCTTCAGTATCTTTCTCCTTCATCAGTATCTTTCTCCTTCATTTATTCAACCTCTTATCAGTATGTACTCCTTCATCAGTATCTTACTCCTTCATCAGTATCTTACTCCTTCATCAGTATCTCCTCCTTCATCAGTATCTTACTCCTTCATCAGTATCTTACTCCTTCATTATCTTCTCCTTCATCAGTATCTTACTCCTTCATCAGTATCTTTCTCCCTTCTTCATCAGTATCTTTCTCCTTCATCAGTATCTTACTCCTTCATCCCAATCTCGGTGTCTTTCTCCTCCTTCATCAGTGTCTTTCTCCTTCATCAGTATCTTTGCTCCTTCATCGTATCTTGCTCCTTCATCAGTATCTTACTCCTTCATCGGTATCTTTCTCCTTCATCAGTATCTTCTCCTTCATCAGTATCTTCTTTCCTTCCTGATATGTTTATCCTTCATCAGTATCTCTCCTTCATCAGTATCTTTCTCCTTCATCAGTATCTTACTCCTTCAGTATCTTTATCTCCTTCATCGGTATCTTCCTCCTTCATCCAGTATCTTCATCCTTCATCAGTATCTTTCTCCTTCATCGGTATCTTACTCCTTCATCAAGTATCTTTCTCCTTCATCAGTATCTTACTCCTTCATCGGTATCTTTCTCCTTCAGTATCTTTCTCCTTCATCGGTATCTTCTCCTTCATCAGTATCTTTCTCCTTCATCAGTATCTTACTCCTTCATCAGTATCTTTCTCCTTCATGTATCTTACTCCTTCATCAGTATCTTTCTCCTTCATCAATTATCTTCCTCCTTCATCAGTATCTTTCTCCTTCATCAGTATCTTACTCCTTCATCAGTATCTTTCTCCTTCATCAGTATCTTTCTCCTTCATCGGTATCTTACTCCTTCATCAGTGTCTTACTCTTCATCAGTATCTTATCTCCTTCATCAGTATCTTTCTCCTTCATCAGTATCTTTCTCATTCATCAGTATCTTTCTCCTTCATCGGTATCTTACTCCTTCGGTATCTTGCTTTCTCAGTATCTTCTCCTTCATCAGTATCTTTCTCCTTCATCAGTATCTTACTCCTTCATCAGTATCTTTCTCCTTCATCAGTATCTTTCTCCTTCATCAGTATCTCTTCACTCCTTCGGTATCTTTCTCCTTCAGTATCTTACTCCTTCAGTATCTTACTCCTTCATCAGTGTCTGTCTCCTTCATCAGTATCTTACTCCTTCATCAGTATCTTTCTCCTTCATCAGTATCTTTCTCAGTGTCATCATGTATCTTACTCCATCGGTATCTTTCTCCTTCATCAGTATCTTTCTCCTTCAGTATCTTACTCCTTCATCAGTATCTTACTCCTTCATCAGTATCTTGCTCCTTCATCGGTATCCTTCCATCAGTATCCTTCATCAGTATCTTCATCTCCTTTCATTATCTTCACTCCTTCATCATCTTACTCCTTCATCAGTATCTTTCTCCTTCATCAGTATCTTACTCCTTCATTCAGTATCTTTCTCCTTCATCAGTATCTTTCTCCTTCATCGGTATCTTTCTCCTTCATCAGTATCTTACTCCTCCATCATCATCAGTATCTTGCTCCTTCATCAGTATCTTATTTCTCCTTCATCAATCAGTATCTTATCTCCTTCATCAGTATCTTTCTCCTTCATCAGTATCTTACTCCTTCATCAGTATCTTTCTCCTTCATCAGTATCTTACTCCTTCATCAGTATCTTTCTCCTTCATCGGTATCTTCTCCTTCATCAGTATCTTACTCCTTCATCAGTATCTTACTCCTTCATCAGTATCTTACTCCTTCATCAGTATCTTTCTCCTTCATCAGTATCTTACTCCTTCATCAGTATCTTACTCCTTCATCAGTATCTTACTCCTTCATCAGTATCTTACTCCTTCATCAGTATCTTACTCCTTCATCAGTATCTTACTCCTTCATCAGTATCTTACTCCTTCATCAGTATCTTACTCCTTCATCAGTATCTTACTCCTTCATCAGTATCTTACTCCTTCATCAGTATCTTACTCCTTCATCAGTATCTTTCTCCTTCATCAGTATCTTACTCCTTCATCAGTATCTTACTCCTTCATCAGTATCTTACTCCTTCATCAGTATCTTACTCCTTCATCAGTATCTTACTCCTTCATCAGTATCTCTCCTTCATCAGTATCTTACTCCTTCATTCACTGGACGAAGAGTTCATATCAGTAGAGGATTAAGACTGTATTTGATGCTAGTGGAATTTCCAAAGTTATAACCCGTGCCTTCAGTAACCCATGCTTGTTGTAAGAGGCGACTAAACTAAACTCACTCACCCAAAACTTATATTGATACAATTAAATGAAAATGACATAAATTACAGTCTATTAGAGTCCAGTTCAAAATCTGCTTTGACAAACTATGGAAATACAGCACAAAGTTGAAGACATTTCATGATGTCCTCTCGTGTTATGGGTTTTGTTTTTTCGGTTGCTTTAGAACATCGGCTGTTTTCTTGACTATCGCATGAACAAGTATGTCACGACCTTATTAAAGAAAACTTCACCTTAAACACAAGCCATCATCTGAGTATTTATACCTGTGTAATGCAACCAGTCTTGTTGTAGTAAGAGTAAACACAGCTGTCTGAAAACATATGATGCCTGAAAACATTATCTGATGTTACTCACCTAACTGCTTCATATTCAGTGACGGGAATGCATGTTGACTTGGTGCTTGGGGCTCAGACAGTTTCTGCGAGTTTCGCACATGTTTCTTGTGTCTCTGTTGATAGGTACAAAACAATGTGAATAAAATCAATGTCTTAGTATCAAGTGTCCACACAAGGCACAAGACGTTAATAGTGTCATTTTAAATATCAACTTACCAACAGTGAGCGAGTTTTACGATGCATTTAGCAATATCATGACAAGGGACACCAGAAATGGTCTTCACACGTTGTACCCATGTGGGGAATTGAACCCTTCTTCAGTGGGACGAGTGAACGCTTAAACCACTAGGCTACCCCACCATTTGGATGCCACTGTTACAGAGACTGAATAACCAGATGCCTGTGACAGTTGACTAACTGAATATTGTACGACACCTTGCGATCAAATACAGGTTTGTCAAGTTACATGAGTTATACAGAATGAGTGAGTGAGTGAGTGAGTGAGTTTAGTTTTATGTGGCACTCATCAATATTCCAGCTATGACGGCGGTCTGTAAATTATCAAGTCTGGACCAGACAATCCAGTGATCAACAGCATGAGCATCGATCTGTGCAATTTGGAAGCGATGACATGTGTCAACCAAGTCAGCGAGCCTGACCACCCGATCCCGTTAGTCGCCTTTTATGACAAGCAATAGTCGCCTTTGTGGCAAGCATGGGTTGCTGAAGACCTATTCTACCCCGGATCTTCACGGGTCTATAGAGAATGAATACCCATGACTAGATGAGTACTTGAGCTCCATGTTATAAAATAGTGAACATCTTTCACTATCAGCCAGATAATCTTCAGTTGAAAATTAGAAGATTTGCCTTCTACCTTTTCAATGAGACTTATATCGCCCTTTTGGATCTGAGAATTCCCCTGTGATTTAGGATTCTCACATGGTTATTTCCATGCATCCCATTGTATGAAAGTACTGCATCATTGGCTTCATGTAATATGCATTGCTACAAGCTACTGAAAGACAACCAACATTGGAAGTGGGCCAATTCACTGTGAAGATATTATGATCATGCCATCATTATTTTACCAGGTCATTTGTACTCTAATACATGGAGTTTATGGTGTGTGATCCAAAATACAGTATGATATGATGAAGAAACTGTTCTGTTGTTTTTCAACTTTATTTCTTTTTTCATGGGCACTGTTTATCCCATTTTATATCAAGATAAATGCATGAATCTTCAGATCTGGGAAACTTGTCATCTGTTAAGGTATAAAAATCATACAATTATGTACAGGGGTCGTAGCAGAATGACCAAAACATCATAAAATTGGTATATTTGCATAAAGAATATACATAATATTTACGCATATGATAGATATAGTTCAGTTTTGATTTGAGCCCTGCAAAAGAGTGTATCTTTGCTAGTTTTCTGGATTATATATATTCTTTTGTTATCAAAAGTATCAAGTTTAAAACATCACTACGTCTTTCTTTCAAACCAACCATGACTGATGATGAACCTTAACTGCTAAAGAAAGGATTGATCAACACTCATTAAACCCTAAAACATAAGCTGTCACCAAGCTCACAGATAGTGAGTAAGTGAGTGAGTGAGTGAGTGGTTTTGTTTACACCACTGTGAACATTATTCCAGTTATATTTCAGAGTATCAGGATAAAGTGGGAGGAAAGATGTTTACTACCTAAGTGAAACCCACAAGCATGGTATACTGCTGATTAATCTAGAAACATAATGCCCTGGACACATACAAAACATAATAGCACTGATTATTGGAGTAACATGATTGTATACTGAAAAGCAGGATCACTTACGGCAGATGTTCTGTGAACATACTTCTCGAAATGCTCTGCTGTTATTTCTGGAATATACGGTGAAGGGAGAATTGATTGTTTTTCAAAATCCTGTCCCCATGTCTTTGTAAAGAAATCAGTCTCCCTCCTGGCTAGTCGTGGGTTATTGAGAACAGCAGGCATGTTGACCACTGCATTGTACACTGTCCATTTAAACTGGTCCGACACTACACTCGGCTCAGTGGTGGTTGGAGTGGTGGAGGAACTGAGTCTGGATTGGCTGGATAGACTTTTATTCCGAGCTCCTGTAAATAGAAGAATTTATCTAGTGACAGCATTTTCACAACCAAAGTGTGTGTATTTCACTTTAAAAGACCCACAACAACAACTATCTCTAGGATTCCACTGAGGGTAAAACCAAAACAGACAAACAATAAAATGTTTTCGCTAAAGAACAACAGTACAACTAGTTGTTAGACTAACACTTAGTGTCGGAATACATATAATTTTGATGGTAACAAATTAACTCATTTAAATAAAAAAGGAGCCCCAGTGAGATGGGAGATTCAGAACCTGAGGAAATCTAGACTTGCTTCATTTAGGACAACTGCCGGTTTTGACAGCTTCCACTGTATACAATTTGTTGTAGAAACATATACATCATGTGAGCTGGCTAATCAGACCATCTATTGATAAATAGGGCTGAAACGGTAACCAGGGTACTCAAGTACGAGGCAGGTAGGAGCATTACTCGAGTTGTAAAATACTAGTAGAGTACTTGTCCAAGAAGAATTTTCTCCCCTCTCACTCCACGTGTAGTCGTGTCGGACCCAACATGGCAGAGCAATCAGCTCCAAAGTCTGGAGCTGTATTTAAACTTGTGTCATTTATTCCTACCAGTAGATCATGCAATTACTAATCAGCTTGAGAATAGATCACAACACAGTACATGGTGTTGATTACATAAGGACAGGTCCATTGTTTATTTTTTATTCAATAGGCTTCAAATATAACATACTCATAACATAACAACACTTGGGTTGTAAGATGGGATCATTGCTTTTTAAAAGAACACACCTCAATAGCTTAAAATTAGTACCTCGCCTACATCACAGTCTCGAGGACGAGTACTCCAGTACTCAAGTACTCGTGAGTAGTTGAAGGTGAGTACTCAAGTACTGTCAGTTACTACCCATTTCAACCCTATTGATAAATGCAACTTATTGGACAAAAGTTGAATGTTCTATCTTCCAACAGCATATTTAACTTTGTAGCCAATCAAAACCTGCATCAAATCACATGATATTTAAACGTTCAATAGTAAACATCACAGCTATGATTCATATTGATATTTCTGTTATTCAGAATCAAACATTCAATAAAGGCTACTGTTATACATATTCATTGGTCAGTGTCTCTACATCTATCAACTTTGTGCTTTTCTGAAACCCCAATCCATATGACTGCTGCAGATCCAACATATATCCAACTACACATACATAAGCCTAACAAATAAACTAAAATGATCTAGATTCTGCAGGAAAAACATCAATAAAGTGACATTTTGGACATGTTACTCACTACCTCTTCTCAGCATCATCTTAACATCAGTTCTTCATCCAAACAACAATAATCCATCTGAAATGTCTCCCAAAACAGTAGCTTTATAAAATAACTATACAGTATTCAAAATCAAGCATTGAATAGTCAAGTGGTTCCTTGTGATAACGACAGTCCTTGCCTCAATAGCTAAGGATCTTAAGGGTCCCTACATTCAAATACCAGAAGAGCATACCTTCTAAGGATCTAAGAAGGCCGTGCCCCCTTCACATTACAACACTGCAGAAAGACAAATTTAGTGAGATACCATACTGGATAGTTCAAAAATCAATTTACACATATTACTAGATAGGAGACATCCCATCATATGCTTTTCACACTTAATCTACATACATCAATAAATATCCCATATATTTAATAACTGAATGATAAATTGTCACTGTCACTAACACAAATGACATATTACATGCTGTGGTCTGAATAACATCAACTGAATAGATCGGGTGTGAAAGCAGTTTATTAAAATCATACTTGTTTTAAAATGCTAACAAAGCAAGCCTCCAGCTACACATGGTGTAGCATTTATATCTATATCAAGGGGTGCATTCATCCATTGCCTGCACACACTGAGAACATATGCATAGGAACTTTGTACGCATTGTCATGCATCAATCAATTATGTATCTCATTTATTCAATGGCTGGCAAAGAGAAAAGGTTGAATTCATATATGTATAATCTCTCTGGTGAAGAACTGAATTCTTCATTAAAATATGTTTGTTTGATGTTTCAAGCAGCACTCAGCAATTTTACAGCTATGACTGAGATCTGTAAATACCCGAGTCTGGACCAAACAATTCAGTGACTGACATCATGAGTATTGTTCAATGCAATTGGGATACAATTAAATGCATCAGCAAAGTCATCAAGAGGCCCCCTGATCCTGTTAATCACCTCTTAGGACAAGTGTGGTAAGGAGAAGACAAAATCTAACCCGGATCTTCATGGGTTCATTTCAGACAGTCTGACAGAGGAGCCAAACCTTGGATCATGAATGTTTCTACCCTCTTTGTGCTTTCTATATATGGTTTTCTACAACATGTACAATGGATGCAAATAAAATGGTCTCTCTTCACCTGACTATGTTTGACTTTGTTATTTTTTTTGTGTGACTGAGGTTTGTAACTGTGAATCCAACACACAATGCTGCTCTCTGGCAACATTATTAGGTGACGGAATTGTACTTTTCAATAGGTCCCACATTCATTTTTTTGTGAGTACCCACACAAATTTTGGTGTCTCCACCGGGATTCGAACCATGGCCAATACTAACCAACAAGCGGTTCTTAATGGGATTGTGTATTTCATAACTGAGGGTGACATTTCAGATACAATATATTTGATATCTGAAAAAAAGGGCCTATTTTTAGTGTGGCATTTCTCACAATGGAAAGATCTCTGGGAATCATGTCAGGAATTAGATAAAATAATTATTTTGAAATTTAAACGGCAATTGTCTGAGCTTCACTTGACAACATGACATCACCAAAATCAAACTTCCTTCCTAACATGCAGTGTGAAATGGGTGAACTTGCACAATGTATGTACTTCCTGTTGAAACTGAATATTCATTCTGTCGTGTACACTCAATGTTATTAATAGCTTAAACAAAAAGCCATTATTTAATTTTAAAACACAGATATTCGATGTGAGAAAATGATAATATATTTACTGATATATATTATAAACTGGGTATATACATACACAAATTTGGAAGATGATCATTATTTGTATTACAAATGCCTTTGATAGTTTGATTCAGTGAACTTTAAAGCACAAGATGTGTACGCAAATACAACCAATATACAAACAAAGCCTTTCCATTTTCAGGAATCTACTCACTTGTTTCATAACTTCTAATCATGAATTAATGGGATAGTATTCTATTTAATTTATTTTTGTTTCTGAAGAAGAATTGTGAAGTATGAAAACTATATATAAACTTGACCGAGTCTCAGCATGACTCAACAGTGTCATATGCAACTAATAGACATAACATTACAATATTCTCATCTATAACAACGGCCTGCTGTGAATCATTGTGCCTGTAGCTACCACAGCTGTTGTTCCTACCAGCTTTTGAAACAATAAACTAAAAATAAGTTTATTGCTTTGCAGGTAATTTTACACATTAAATATTTACCATTAATGTATTGGTCAGAAATATATGCAACATGATGTCCTCTTGATAGTTTGCTTCCCCATTATTCTACATCATCAGCACCATTATCTACATCATGTATGTGTGTCCTTCAAACAAATCAATGATGCTGTCATAATGATTTTTTTGTTAGATATCATAACATAAACAGAAGCTACAGTCCGTTTGAGTCAGAAACGGACCGATGAATTGCAAATTTTATCATAGTACAAAATTGGCACATAAATATAAATAGTACACGTTTATCATTTACTAATACCCAACAGCTTTCTTATATTTGAAAATTTTCCGGACTCCACCCAAAAACTTGTTTAAGAAACTATCATTAAAATATTGACACAGTTCACTATTTGTTACGAGGGAGGAGTGCAGAGAAAGGGACAGCCAGGTGTTCGAGAACGGATGGAAACGGCACAGCACAGGTTAATGAATAAATAACTTTGTCTGTGAACGTGCTTCTCGAACACCAGGCTGTCCCTTTCTCTGCACTCCTCCCTCGTAACAAATAGTGAACTGTGTCAATATCTTAATGATAGTTTCTTAAACAACTTTATTATTTTTAGGACAAAAATTCTGCAAAAACCTCACAGAGTTGGTATGATGTTTTGATTATGATCAGCGTTTCATTGAGTATGTTATGTTTATTAGTTTTCGAGTTAGATTGCAATTCATCAGTCCGCTTTTGAGCCAAACGGACTGTAATGATGATGTGCATATATGGGTGGTCAGGCTCGCTGACTTGATTGACATGTCATTGTATCCAAATTGCGTAGATTGATGTTCATGCTGTTGATCACTGGATTGTCTGGTCCAGACTCGATTATTTACAGACCGCCGAGTGCCGCATAAAACTACACTCACTCACTGACTCAACACTGCACTATTCAAACTGTATGAGGACGCCTGTATATAACCAGGTCTGGTCCCGACAACCCAGTGCTTGATGTCATGAGCATCAGTCCACTTCATCAGGATACAATGTCATGAAATCAACAAGTTGCAGAGCCTTACTACCCAATCCAACTATCCTTACAATACAGTATTGACAGCTCAGACCTATTCTACCTCAGCTTCCCAAAAGGGACAGTATAAGCAAATAATGAAGCATATCACTTTATGAACAAGTGTTTGCCACTAACATGGCAATGGCCCCTAACACAAATAAGGTCAAGGTTAGCTTAAAATGACTGGTGTTTGTGTAATCACCCAATGTAGGCTGCCGAAATAATTGAAGACATTGGGTGCAACGTTTTATGAGATATTGCGTTTACATAAGTTCGAAAAGTGGTCAAATCGACTGGTGTCTGGGTAATCCCCCAATGTAGGCTGTCACCAAATTTCAAGATATTGGGTACAAGAGTTCATGAGATATCGCATTAACGAGAATCAGGAATACATAGTCCCCTGTTCTGCGGTGCGATGGGGGGACAATAACAGATTCTTGCTTAGTGCATAAAGAAATGTTTCATTGTAGACTATTACACTGTTATCACCATTCTTTACTCATGAACTTGTAGAATGTATATCAAACAATCAGTAATAAGTAATGCCACAATCCAAGTCATGCATGCTATGTAACCTACAACTGTTTTAAATCATGTTGCCATGTATACGTGTTGATGTAAATATCATTTATCATCTAATGGAGGGTGTTATCTGTGCAATTAAGCAATCTGATAAACTTGGTATCCATATCTGATAACTATGCAAATTACATCTATCCACGAACTACTACCACAAAACTCCATACACGCCATGTGAATCCTACAACGTTAACATTTCATTGATGACGTTGTCGCGAGTTTACATTGTTTGTAAACAAACATGGCTGCCCCCATTCTCAAAATTGGTGATTCTGTAAGAATTGATGACAGAGGTTCTGGAGTCGTTACTGTGGTGATTGACTTTGGAAAACATGAAACGGAGAACTTCGTTCAAATTGAAGGTATGGATTATGAGGCACCACTGGAAGGCAATCGTGTAAGAAAGGTCCAAACCAAGAATTTCAATCTATCGATCATAATTTAGACGACGAATCGTTTCCGTCAGGTATCGGAAACCTATATTGATGAGGTGATTACCCGCAATGAAAATAGAAACATAGCTAAGAAAACCGTGCCCGATTTTGTTGTTCTTTTTAAGACAGACAGATCTTATTTTAAGCATGAGTTATGTTTGCACTGTATTAGCGACTAGTCACAACCATATGCCGCCATCAAGAATGACCTTCACCTTGGTGTACCGCTAAGTATTCTTACGCGACTGCTCAATTCTCTTCAAATAAATTCATGTATGAGTTGCTTTATTTTTTAGACTAATTTTAAGAATGACATTATATGATAAAGAGATTATTAACCTTGTGGTTTCCGTATCAATAATATCATATATTAGGAATATAAATTATGTATTATGCTTGCCAAAGGCTCGCATTTATTCCTAATATATGATATTAATTATAAGGAAACAAACTCGGTTAATCATCTCTATATATGGCCTGTAGTTGTAAAGTGATTCCCCACCCACAATGATTACTAATTAAAGATACCACTTCACCACGTGTACCTGTAAGCATGTTCAGTGTAAGCAGAAACCATATAATATTATATGGTCTCTGGTGAAGTTAGTGAAACATTTGTCAAACAGGCAGAATTAGAATTATTGATGGAATAAATTTCACCAATTATGCTTGACTGCATGATTAAATGATACTCTACTGACATTCTGCTATCAATTTGGAAAGGAAGTGATACTGATTAATCAGAGGTTTCAATAACATTATCTTGGAAATAGGTGATTTGGCATCTGCATCACCATGGCAACCAATTTCATTAAATCGAGATCTTATGTCTCTGCTGCAAAACAAAGATCTGAGGACATCCCTGTACAGGTTGTGTCTGATAAACCTTTCACAAACTATTAGCGACCAATGAAATGACTGATGAGAAGTCAATATTACAGTCACAAAGTAAATTTCTTTGCCCATATGGACTAGGCTCCCAAACATATTTTGTTCTTGATTCAAAAAGTGAAAATTGACAAACAGAACTTTTTAAAATGTGCAACATATCTCACAGATTGTACGGCAGTACTTCCCATGGGTTTTGCAAAGTTTCATTTTGTGAGATTGTCATGGAAGTGCATATTTATAGAGAAGTACTAAATAATTAAACTAATAAACCTAATTAATATAAATATTTGCTTGGTTACAAATTGCAGATGTTTCTACAATATTTGAAGTTTGTGTGAAAATGCCTTTTGGGAAGAAAACATGATAGTGATAGACTAAAAGAGTGTATTTCAACACTAACTCTTCTTCCTTGTCTGTCACATAACTTAACATAGTTAACATGGATAGCTACACATAAACATGGCATGGCAGTATTATAAATGAAGCTTGTGTGTGATCTGTGATGTTTGTGAAGATATCCTTGCAATAACCATGATAAATTACCCTACTGTTAAAGAATAAAGACTATTGGGCCCTTTATTTCAATTTCCAAATATCCAAACCTCTGCAATAGCTCAAATCCTGAAAATAATAAGTTCATACTGAAATAACTTGCTGATAATAACTTGTGCCACATGCATGATATATGATCTGTTCCTATTTATGCACAGACAGTACAAAGTCTTTGTCTATGTAATTGGTTACTGCTTAATTAGAAAATTAGAAAATGAGTTGTCCTATTTGTGGCTTCAACTTAGCTAAATCAATTTTGTTAACCTAAACTAACATGTAAACATTGATAACTAGATATCACGTTTCAATCTTAGTCACTTAACTATTATGAGAACTGCTTCAGTGATATCTTTAGAAGATGCTACCCATATCATCTTATTCTACTGCGAATTGCAATTATGACAAGAACAACTAGGTCTATAAGCAGATTATATATTTCATAAATATTCTTTTCGTTTTGTATCTTTTACAGTGCCTGTCATGAAAGTCAAAACAGATAAATCATAAATGGATTTTTTGTGATAATTAAGTCTAAATCAAACTGGTTTAGAACGACTATTAGATTACATGAAATAATAAACTTATTTATAATGTGACTGACACTTCAACTAGTTCAACTCGTCACTTGTCATGATCAGCTGACATTACCTGTGTCCCCACTATAAACATGATCTCTGGCGACGTGATCCTCATAGTCTCTGTCACTTACACCCTCCAAAGGAAGCGAAGGACACACGCCATTCATTCCGTAACGACACACATATGATCCTCCCTCTTTAGAGCAGTGGAAATCACGAAGGTGTTGACAAAATTCTCGGGGTGATTTGAAAACAATCGCTTCACGACAGAAAACACATTTCTTCCAAGAAACTTGTGCCTTTTGTACTTCATGCTTTGTGGACATCGTCTTTGCTTGACAAAAATATTACATCAACAACTCTATAACAATCTGTAAGGCGTCTGTCGCCTTCTATATACCGGTGTATCGATGAAATATGCATCGGAAGTCACAATCTGTCGCCATATTGCTTTCCCATAATGCCACAGTTATGGAACGTGGCAGGTGAAGGTCGTTCAGTTGTTAGGCCGATTGTCACCTAAAAATTATGTCACACCACAGATCTGAAAAAGCAAATTAAGTCAAACCTATCACTTAAGATGTAACATATCTCAGTTTAAATTTTAATATAACTGCATCTGAACAGCCAATATGTCACTGAACGAAAAGTGAAACATAGTTTAAAATATATAAATACTTTAAAACATATGCATCAAGTTCACATGTTCATTTGTGAACAAATTGGGGACATATTTAAGATGAACACAAGTCATCATTATTTTTTTAAGTGCGTTGATATAAAACCCATAATAAGTGCCAATAACATTACAATCAGAGCGCACTACTCCTTATATTGGTTCTTAATCTAAAAGAGTTTTTATGACAGTTTCAGAAAAAAACCCACATTTTTACAAGCCATGTTAGAGACAAAGTTAGGTTCTAGTTTATTATCCAGGTCCATTGAAAACATGTAAATTAACGAAGTATTACTACGTTTCGACTTTCTTGTTTTCTGTAAGACCACCATACAAATACAATGATATTTTTGTTTGTTGTTGTAACTCCGCACTCAGCAATGTTCCAGATTTATATCAGCGGTCTGTAAATAATCGAGCCTGGACCAGACAATCCAGTGATCAACAGCATGAACATCGATCTACGAAATTGGGATACGATGACGTGTCAACGAGTCTGACCACCCGATTCCGTTAGTCACCTCTTACGCCAAGCATATGGGTTGCTGAAAATTAATTCTAATCCGGACCTTGACGGGTCAAATACAATGCAATTCGTATATCAATATCAAAAACACATGACCAACGAAAGTTCCTTACTTTTGAACTGGCTCACACAAATAAATGGAAAGAATATGTTAGAGCTTTAAATTTGACTCACAATAGGCTACATTTGAATTACAGATTTCAAACAAAACACAAAATGAAATAGAATTGATTACCTAATTTTCTTTAATTTTTTTTTGTTTACAGACCGCCTCCGTGGTGTAGTGGTTTGAGCGTCCGCCTGGAGAGCGGAAGATCGCGGGTTCGATCCCCGGCCACCTCATACCAAAAGACGTTAAAATATGGTACTTGTTGGTCCCTGCCTGGCGCTCGGCATTAATGGGTACAACAAGGTCTGGTCGGCTCGGAGTCAGTATAATGTGTCTGAGTGGGGTTTTCATGCTTCACTGCGGCATGGTATCTCAGTGGGCTAGCACTATAAAACCAGCTTAAGTCTGGGCTAGTACAAGCAGCCGCACATACACACGCATGCACATCGTCATATGAGCGAAATATTCTCAAGCACGGCGTTAAACCCAATTTCACCTCACCTCTTTTTTACAAAACGGTCAAACGTATTAGTCATCGTCATTTATCAAATATATTGATTGCGAATAATATAAAATAGACTCTTTCAAATATGGCATCACCAATGGGTATGTTAAAACATGACACCGACTCTGGACGCTAAGTTCATTACAAAAGCAGTGTTGTAAACGAAAAATGCATTTTCAAAATGGGAATTGCCAATACACAGACAATATAACATTTGATTATTGTAATCGTGGAAACTTGCATTTAAAATATTACAGTTCACTGTAGCTGTAAATCATCAGCCGTGTTTTGCTAAATCAGCAGGATCTGAGAATAATGACAGACGCCCCAGTAAAATCTGCCGATGCCGAATCGATGTTGTTTCATTACACAAATTAACGCAACTGGTTGTCAGTGATATTGTCCTGGTCCACATTCTATAGCCGCCTGCACGCAAAACATTAATGTGGTAATCTAAGGACATCTCAAAAAGACTGTCTGGTGTGCACCGATTGATATCTTTTCTTGTGTGAAGAGAAAGAGTCCACCATTCGCAGATCCCAGACTAACGCTGTCTCTGATTATATATGGTGTTTATATTAACAAACAATACCTTAATTTGTGCGTTGAAAAGGAGCCCAAGTGAGATTTGAGATCCAGAACTTGAACCTTGGAAATATATCTTGCTTCAGTTAGGGCTTTAGCATTGCAGGAAAGACTGGGCAGTAGGAAAAATATTGGGTTCAGTGACTGTGAAACAGACAAGTAGATCACGTCTGGGATCCAGGAGTGAGTACAGACTGGAAAAAAATAAATTGTTTGGGCAACATTGTTTCAAGGTATTGATTTTGTTGACTTGTGTCTTACTGTTTATGTTTACGTTAAATGCCATCATGACAAAATGGAGGCAGCTCACTCATGCAATAAAGTACCATCCAATCTATGTCCACAGATGCGCTTACTGTGAATTCCATTTCAGCGTTATGCATGTGATGCAGTGTCTGTGTATGTGTGACCCTTGTGTATATATTTCTTAACGTACAGTGTACGCTCTGTCAAGTTTCATGCTTCCTTTCAAAATATCGATAGTTTCTCTTATTGCGTTCCATGTCCATATCCTCGTCGTTATTGGGGCTGTGGCGTAGCCCAGTTGTTACAGCGCTCTCTCCTCACACTGAAGACCCAGGTTCGATTCCCCAATCGGGTACCATGTGAAAAGCCTGTTTTTGGTGCCCCCCCCCCCCCTGTGATATTGGTGAAATATTTCTAAAAGTGGTATAAAACAACATTCACTCACCGATGTCGTTATTTCATTTTCATTCCCTTATATAGATTTGTATGATCAATATTGGCAGTATTAATCAAGACCGAACCGTTCCCTGTGAACTCGCCATGATTAACAGAAGACCGGATTAACTCGTTGGTATAAATAGAACGCAAAGGCCTCTTCATTGCCAAAAAAAAATTAGTAAGGTTTTAAAAATGCTCTTGGATGACGGTGTTTCCGTAACAACAGGGTGTGGACTAACGGTTTCAGTGCAAACAATATTCACAATGGCTACGCATGTATTGAAATATTTTCTTCTTCTCGACGGGGTCATATGTATGCAGCATATGTAGGTTATGATTCACAACATGCGTCGTAGCAGATACGCGAGGTAGTTTAATATAAAGCGGCTGTTTGAAAGGTTAACGCCGTGTGTTGTATGACAGACGTTTAAAGCAACGTGCCTCTGTTGTCAAACCTTCTCAGTGGCCACATATACATAAGCAGGACAAAACGCTTCTACAGTCTCATAGAACCAACCAACCCACCCACGTGTGTTATACGTGTATTGTGATTTGCTGACATTGCAAAAATTCAAGGGAAAATTTATGTGGGTGTTAATAATTTAAGGTCCTATTACACAATGCCTCGCTTGGAAGTCTTGATAGGCCCTTCTGAACAGGACAAATATATAAGAGAAAACAAAGACTCTTTGCTTGAATAAATTCAAAAGAATGCAGGTATATATGTACGTCTTTTACTAGTGCACATTCAACTGTGTCATAATGACAAATTAGCCACACACAAAAAAGAGAAAAGGAAAAAGAAATTAAGTTTTTCTGAGTATTTGGGAATGGGATATTCAAAAACAACAATTTCGTCTTGCGGGTTTGAATGGATATTTCGAGTGTGTAAACAGATTAGGCGTTTTCGTTGAGCGTCAGTAATGTACATACATGTATATAGGTCGGGTAGTCGTGTGCACAACACTTACATAACACTTAAGGCCCTGTAACAAGAAATGACACACAAACGTGATAGGAAATGAATATCTCCTGAACCGAATCATATTTTGTTAAAATACTTGCCAGTTGAACGTGTTACAGACATTTAGCTCTCAAATGGTCCCCAGATTACATCTGTCGTAGTCTCTGAACTGAAAATATGTTTAAATACTTAATTACAGATAGAAGCCTTGAGAATCACTTGATTTAGGAAACGGAAGAAATATATTTGCAAAAAAAAAATATAAAAAATCCCCGTTTCATATGTTTCTTGTTTCAGGATTTGTATCAGTGTCCACATCCTCACTTCTCCTGGGTAAACAATCGATTCTAGTGATTGATATCATGAGCAAAGATCCCCGTCGTAGGGGTACTAGGGCATGAAATGCAGTCACCGAGGCTGAATACTGATCTATTTTGTCGCATCTTACGACCAACAGAGAGACAAACTGAGACAATGTAGTTATGTATTCATATATACTAACAGCTAGTCTCTGAAATGAACACATTTTACAGAAAATAAAAGTTTTAAATTATAACTATAAATACAATAGAAAGGAGCCCAGAGACTGTCTTCATTTTCAGAAACTGAAACTGCGGTAATCTTGACTTGCCACACATTCAAGACTTGCATGGGCTGCATTGGGTATATTTGTTTCAAGGTCTGTATGACAGACTAAAAATTTATTTATTTTAGTAGTCATGTAAATAGTATTACATAAACTAAACGGTTTGCCCTGAGATCTGAGTTGGAGAGACCAACTACAGAAGCAGAGTCCTTGGCCCAGTGTAATGTAGACATGTTTCAAGGAATATATGCCACCCTGACTGTTTATGACCGTACCAGTCGGCAGTGTGGAAAACAAAAACGATTTGAACGGGCTTCCTTCTCTTCTCGAAGGCTCAAGCTGTGGACATAGCCTAGTGGTTAAGCGTCCGCTCGTCACCGTGTGAAGCCCATTTCTGTTGTACCACCGCCGTGATATTGCTGGAATATTGCTAAAAGCGGCGTAAAACCATACTCACTCACCCTGTCATAGTAGCATGACAGCAATATCTGTGTAAAGGCTTTGCTCTAAGAGGTGACCCTCACCTCCGTGCTGCTCTCAGTCACGTCACAACAACATCCTACAATCATTGTATGTTATTATGTCAGTCTTCAAGATTGGGATCTCAGTTGTATCAGGGATACTCTACAACTCCTTATAGAGTCTCCCTGGTTGTATATATCTGCATGCTATAAATATTGTCTATGCATAGCCACGTATTTACATTCTAGGCCTAAGCGAATTAGGGCCGTTGTCTCTTTATACGTGAAGTAGTAATTACTGCAAGAGTGATGGACGTCATAAAATTTAAAAGGTTATATAGGAATAGAAATCCATGGACCTGATTCTCGCGATGAATTATTTAAATCACAACACGCAGGGCGCGCGCACTACCAATATATTAGCCGAGAGCCGCGATGCGGTCCTATACAGTCATGTCTTGACTGTATAGGACCGCATCGCGGCTCGGCTACCAATATATTAGTCCATATATGTGTCCGAGCCAAGGGTTTACCGAGTACACAGGTATATCGCAAAAAGATGTTAGTCATTAGTGTCGATCATCTGTCAATCAGCTTCTGCGTGCAAACAGGGACAGGCTTGATATTGCCCATATGGCCAATCTGAAACTCGATTTCACGTTTTGATATTCCGCCTACGTTGTTTTCCTATCGTAGACTTCCTATCCTCGCTTGGAGACAACAGTGCACTCAATATGACCCTATTAAAGACATTTCCTAAACATTGTTCAGGAAAAAAGACTAACTGTATTGTTCACGAGTCTATGAGGGATAGTTCTCTCAAATCATCTATTGCAATGCGTCAACGTGTTGCTGTCACAACGTCACTGAGTCATTGAGAACCACGTGTATTTGTTTTGAACAATAAGGAAGCTATTATATGAGCATGCGCTGTGACTGGCATATCCGGGCACCTGCAAGTAGTGTCAGGAGTTTGTCCCAACATGGCGGCACAGAGTGAGGGAGGTGGCAGAGATGAGTTAAAAACCCACTTTGCCACCAGAGAGGGCACTTACAAATTAATGCCATTGTCAGAATATTCGAAACCTTCACGAGTGGCATACAATGGACAGACTAACACACCAGTTAAAGTGTCATTTGTGAATGTCAACGATGGGTCGGGGTCCCCCGATCGGATCTGTTTTAATGTTGGGAGGGAGTTATACGTTTATGTTTACAAGGGTGTTAGAAAGGTGAGTCCTATCATTGACGTCTGCTGAAGCTGACAACATATCTGAACTGCCGAGTAATTAATCATGGCCATTCTCTCGCTTGGCAAACCAAACGTATGAGCTTCAATGGAATCGTGTCGAATGGAATGACGTGATATTTCATGCTTCTGTTCGTCACACCCAACGACTAATCACCTCAATTTCTGCTTCCTCCATCTTTTGTGAGGAGGTAACATCTCATGCAACATTATTATAAACATGGAACCACTTTTATACATTGCTCATGCCATTTTCTTTGTCGATTTTACGTCTGCTAATCATCTTATCTATACAGTTTATTGCGAAACGGTGAATATTTTCAACCGGAACAGGAAGTGACATTTGGTGCAGTTTATATACGAAGCATAAGATCTACCTGCTGTTATTTCGGAAGCAATTCAGTGATTGCAAATTCTTTCAAAGGACCTATCATCACTATAGATTGCTTAAACAGCCGTGGTGGAGATAGGCCTACTTATTTTGAAGAGAACTAGTGTAGTCATTTCTCAATATTGTTTGCAAAATACATGTATCAATTAGGTTTTTTAAGAACAGGTTTGCAAGTAAAAAGACTGCCCTATTCCATCTTACTTATATTATTACCGTATGACTGTGTATATTGTCTGGAGCCCAGTCTAGGTCCAGATGTAGTAATTAGTGGCTTGAATGTGAGGCATTGTCTTTATCTAATTATGGCAACTATTTTATTAATGGGTTTATCAACAGAACATAATTTGAGTGTTTAAATGGCAGTTATGAAACTTGCTAGGTCTGGAACTTATCACAGGTGTAGTTTGTCTTTACACTGTGATGATATTACAGTTTTGAAAACTATTTTTGTGAATAAGTTGTCATATTAAGTAATATTCATTATACTTTTGAAAATAGTGACCATGATCTGCATTACAGTTACCACAAAGCAAATTTGACTAATCTGACATGTTCATTTTGTTTAATTTTCAGTAAGTAATAATCATCATGATCATTATACACATAGTTTACAATTCCTGAGTTATTTTAGCAATCCATACTTTATTAAATATGTAAAATATGCACCATTGTTTAGATGAAATCCTTCATTGAAAATAGTGCAAAGCACTTTCAAAGAATTTTGGGAAACATGTTAGACAAATGAGGTATATTTCACTAGTGGTGAACTGATACAATGGTTCATTGTGAAATTTCATGCAACAATATGCTCCTTGATAAATTGACATAAATATGCTAATCTAATTGTGAATTGTATCATGAATTATGTATCATGATACATATTGTATTGTGACCTTGCTGTATCATTGTAAACTATATTATCCAAGGTATGTGAAGTAGTGGTGTAACGATTTGTCGATAATATCAATGTTTACATTGTCAACTACGCGATACGAGTGCATCGATACAAAACACATTTAGGCAATATATCAGGATATTTATATCGCAAGGGTCCATGATACATCGATGTATTGCCACAAGAGATGATATATCCCGATACAACTTAAATACTGCTTAAAGGAGTATTGCATTAGGAATAGGAAAGGAGTCTCTTTGAAATTCTTCTGTCAAAACAAATTGAACTTCAAAGGAATTTGTTTGTGTCTGTTATCTTTGTTACATGAACAAAGTAGTTGTGTATAAGTATAAGCCAGAGAGTGTGAACATTTTACAAACTCAGACGTTGTGAACTGTAGGATACTTGTCTTCAAGTAATTGAAATATGCAGATATGTTTTAGTTGTTTGACAAATAACACCATTTATTAACAACTATGAACGATGTCTTAGCTCTTTTAAGAAAGAGAACAAAGAGAAGATAAAATTTAGAAAGCAGACTAAAGAGTTTTTTTCAGTGATTCTGAATTCTGATATAAATTACATTGAGTTGTTTTTGAAAGCATTGGTGTAGAAACACAACTTCCCAAGGGAAACTTCACTTTCAAATGTATATATATATTAGATCAAGGTAACAAATGAAGTTTCAGTCATTTTATCTAACATATCTGTTCTGTTATTAGAAATTGTAAAGTATCGGGATACATATTGTATCGCCACTATTCTATCGTGATGATAATCGTCTCGCGGGTTCCTTGCCAATACTTTCATGATATATCGTCTCGCCTCATTAAACTGATATCGGTATATATCGTCTCGCCACTTAGGCCATGATACACAGCTCTAATGTAAAGGGGTAAACTTTATGCTGCTTGTAAGAAATTTGGTAACTACACTTTGGTACTATGGCATGCTGTTCACTGAGCACTTTTTCACTCTTTTAAAAAAGTGTAATTTTGCTGTTCATCAGCTGTCATTGAAGACTGCTACTATTTTGAGTGGATATTCCATCTATTCACTTCAACTTCTTCGCTCAATGGATAAAATTTATGTTCAGTTAAAGTTCTCTTGAAATCTTCATTATAATATAACCACTGTGAAAGAGAAACTGAAGGAAAATAAGATTTTCGTGAATACTAATCATGCTGACAGACTGGATTCATGCAATGAAATATTTCCTGTGTGTCACATGTCATAGCTTTTAGTCGAACTCTAACGTATGTTGAAATTATGGTGTCTTGAAGTAAAAGCTTGGTCCCTTTGCATGCTTTGTTTATTCATTTAGTTTTTGTTTGTGTTGAACCTTAAATAACTGAAAGAATTTATGTTGGCATTGACACAACAGTGTTTGTAACTAAATTAGGGTTACAAGTTCAACGGTACACGTTGAGATACTTTGTGCCGATAATTAACAGAATTAACTTCACACATAGGTAGAACATGTGAAGTCCTTCTGTAATACAGCTTGAATATTGTTAAAATTGGCATAAAACCATTCTCATGCACTGTGAATATCTTGGGTCTCCTTAAATCTTTATAATTTCAGTTATTATTAGGATCTTTTTATGTTCATTATTGAGTTGGAACACTAAAAATACCTATAGCCCAACCAAAATGTACTTAGTACAGTTGAATTCATTTTTGAAAAAGGATCTGAGACGCCATGAACAGACAGAAAATTGCGCGTTACAAATATACTTCCTTTCAAAAGTTTAGACTCACTTAAAACGGTCACTATATGTTGTGTGTGGGGGGAAACCAACTACAAACCCTATGCAGATGAATTGCACGAGGATCATGCATCAAATTGCTGAAAAGCATGTGCAAATATCGTGCACGTGAACAACTGCATTTTGGTGCAAGTTTTGTTTTGTTTTGGTGTAAGTTTCACCAGTTTTCACTGATTTTTATTATTTGCTGAACTCATGACAATAATCTTCTTAACGTTACGAATTTGTTTTACAATGCATCAGTTCATGTGTATACAGTACCTTTAAACAATGGAATATTTTGCAAAATTTAGTTTAGAACAGTTGTCTGAAGTAAGTGGCTATATTTACACAAGTGAGTCTAAACTTTTGAAAGGAAAGGAAGTACATTTCCATGCATTTTTACATGTTAGCCATTATATACTTACGTGTATTGTGTTGTATCGGTACATGGCCTGATGATACCTTACTTTTATCACGGTTATCTCGATGCTCCCAACTTTCAGCAAATTGTTATGCATCTAATGTAAATGAAAAAACTCAGCTTTTGAATAGTATGAATATTAAACTAAATGTAATAGAAAATTGTCTAATGTGTATAAAATGTTCTCATAAACATCAAAATGGTTTTAAAATTATGAAATTTTGTTTAGTTTAATACCATTTGATACACACTGAGGGTTTAGAAATTAAGCCTGGGCCTTCTCTAAACACTGTATTTCTCAATGGGGTTGTGAGAATGACCCCTTAACTTCATGCTTAATTTAGAATACTGAGTAAGCATATATAGCAATGCTCAGAATTAACATGATGAAGCATGAAAGTCAAGGGGACCATGTCATATCCATAGTCTTGAAATTTTAAGATATCTGGTACACAAGATTCAAATGGCATCGTAGAGGGTGTCTAGGCGGATCCCATAACCAACCTCAGTTGTGAACATTGTTAAGATCTGTTCTGGCATAAACACTTCTTTAAAACATGGGTCGATGTTAACATTTTTTACTAGACCAGTCGACAAGTGGGTCTTAAAATATATTACACCTGACCTAATGTCAACTAAACCATACTGTTGGAAGACAAAACAAGGTTACTTTTGTTATCAGCTGGTTTATAGTGCATACTGGAAGGACATGCAGTATTAAACACAAAACTATGTGATATTTGTTTTCTTTTGTCCATTATGAATACTGTATACCTTAACTTTTGATTTTTCTGGACCGCCTCCGCGGTGTAGTGGTTAGAGCGTCCGCCCGGATAGCTGAAGGTCGGGGGTTCGATCCCCGGCCGCGTCATACCAAAAGACGTTAAAATATGGTACTTGTTGGTCCCTGCCTGGTGTTCGGCATTAATGGGTACAACAAGGACTGGTCGGCTCGGAGTCAGTATAATGTGTCTGAGTGGGGTATTCATGCCTCACTGTGGCATGGTATCTCAGTGAGCTAGCACTATAAAACCAGCTTAAGTCTGGGTTAGTACAAGCAGCCGCACATACACATACATACGCATGCACGTCGTCATATGAGCGAAATATTCTCAAGCACGACGTTAAACCCAATTTCACCTCACCTCACGTTTGATTTTTCTGAAAAATGTTTATTATTAAAGAGTATATTTTATAGTCTTTTAACACATAAATAAGCCTGATAACAGTGTCTGTAGTACTCATTGTAAAAGACGACACTGTGCAAGATTTTTAAAAACCAAAATAACAAATCGATTTGAAACAGCATTCATTAAATATCTACACTACCAGTCAGACTAGCCAGACAGGTTTCTAATTCGACCGGCCAGCTGTTTACTAGACAATGTCATTCTGATGTGCCTTAGTGTCGAACCCTGCTTTATGAATATTATTATATATTTTTCAGGCTGCAGATCTAACAAAACCGCTGGACAAAAGGATCTACAAGGGGACCCTGCCTACATGCCATGATTTCAATCAACATTTTGTCACTACTGAGAGTGTATATCTATTAGTTGGCTTCACAGCTGGGCAAGTCCAGCTGATTGATCCAATCAAAAAGGAGCTCAGTAAATTGTACAATGAAGAGGTTGGTGTAATTTCTCCATCAGTGACACACAGATTCAGTCAACAAGTTAAAAAATATCACCAGACACAATTCACTAGATTGTAGTTCATGCAACATGGACTTATATTAACTGTTTTAACTGAATATACTGGACTGAAACAAGTTTTGTGTGTATCATGAATAAGTGGTCAATCTAACTTGTGTGGATTATGTGTACATAAGCATTATTAACATAGGTAACACCTAGTACGAAACTATGTTTTACGGCTAGCTCTGCTTACATATAAATAATATGGATGCTTATGTTATTTACCCATATGAAGATCGTTGCTTATACTGTTGATCACTGGATTGACTGGTCCAGATCCGATTAATTACAGACCACTGTCATTTAGCTGAAACATTGCTTAGTGCTGCGTTAAGCAACAAACAAACATAGTGTATATTAGACCTGTTCAGAGACTGTAAGCCCCAAGTCTGAGACCACCTCCATGGTGTAGTGGTTTGAGCGTCTGCCCCGAGAGCGGAAGGTCACAGGTTTGATCCCCGGTCGCGTCATACCAAAAGACGTTGAAATATGGTACTTCTTGGTCCCTGCCTGGTGCTCGGCATTAATGGGTACAAGAAGGACTTGTCGGCTTGGAGCCAGTATAATGTGTCTGAGTGGGGTATTCATGCTTAACTGCGGCATGGTATCTCAGTGAGCTAGCACTATAAAACCAGCTTAAGTCTGGGCAAGTACAAGCAGCCGCACATACACACACATGCACTTCGTCGTATGAGCGAAATATTCTCAAATACGACGTTAAATCCCATGTCACCTCCCTTCACCTCACAAAGTCTGTCTGATGTTCGTTAAATTCTCAGATTAATATGGCTAATTTCCCATTTCATTTTACCTAGTAATAACAACTGATGGTATGGTTTTGTAGAAGTGACTTGTATTCACTTACAATTTGAGCAAGGTCTCATTTTTATTTTACCAGACTGCTTGACAAAGGCATTTTTTTACTTTGGAAATCAGGATACATCCTGCTCTTGGTATTTTTTCAGTTATGAGTCATCCAGCATTATCAGGCATCTGATAGTCCACCGAACAATGTAGAATGTTTAATGCTTATGCAAAATCACAGCTGTGTGTAAACTTTGCTTTAAAAGTGTTTACTTATGTTTATAGTTTCTTTCCGCATCGCCTGAACATGCTTGTGCTTGTATAGTTACACTCAGGTTTTTGTTTTGTCAGAAATTGAGAGTGTCAAAAGTGTTGTGTCAGAATGCATGAAAATCAATAAAATATTAAGGTTTCATTTGTGATAACTTAAAATTGTACTTCTTTGATTCTAATTGGGAATTCTTACCAGCATTTGCTGGGGACTTTGAGTCAAACACTGGCTTTAGAGGATACCTAGATGCATCCCTGAAGCCATCACCTGTATATTGTTGAACATTTTTGCTTGAGTTTGATTTTAATGAACTCCTCTGTTAAACAATTACTGTTACTGTTTCAGAGGTTAATAGACAAGACCAAGGTGACTTGTATCAAGTGGATCCCTGGATCACCCAACCAGTTCCTGGTGTCTCATGGCAGTGGTCAGATGTATGTGTATAATGAGGACTTACCATGTGGGCCAACACCTCCACACTACCAGCTCTTTAAGCAGGGCGAGGGCTTCTCTGTATACACATGTAAAACAAAGACTACTCGCAACCCCATGTATCGGTGGATAGTGGGGCAAGGAGCTATTAATGAGTTTGCATTTTCTCCGTGTTCACGGTACATCGCAATTGTTAGTCAAGATGGCTACCTCCGCGTGTTCAACTATAACTCTATGGAACTTCATGGCACGATGAAGAGTTTCTTTGGAGGACTTCTGTGTGTGTGTTGGTCACCGGACGGGAGGTATCTCGTCACTGGGGGAGAGGATGACTTGGTGACAGTGTGGTCTTTTCAAGAGAAAAGAGTCGTATGCCGTGGTCAAGGTCATAAGTCTTGGGTGAATGTTGTGGCCTTTGACATGTTCACGTCAATTGTGTGTGATGAAGAAGACTGTGATTACATGGAAGAGCAAGAAGACTGTAGTCATTCAAAAGCCAATCATACCGGGTCAAAAGATTCGACTTCCGATTTACCTCAGTCTAATGGCTCTCATGTCAGTTCCAAAAGTAATTCCACGGAAGGTAAAAATGTGACATTCACATCCTACAGATTCGGTTCTGTAGGTCAGGATACTATGCTGTGTTTGTGGGACTTGACGGAGGACATTGTCAGGCAGCCGTATGGACGGTCTTGGACTAGCGTTGTGGCATCGGCAAATGCTGCCTCTTCTCTTCCCCGCTGCAACAGTCTACCAAACTCTCAAAAGCCCAACTCCATTGCAAATGATGTGTCAGCAATGGATGGCAATGCTCACCATATACAAAATGCTGTCATGAATGCCAGCAGTAAATTTGCAACTCTCTCAGTAGCAGATCGGAAGGAGAGTCAGGAAAAGAAGGAACACAAAAGGAACTTTAGTCTAGCGAGTCGGAACACTGAGAAAGTCAATCTACTTAAGTCTAACCATGTGAGGCCTATAGATGAGTCGTTAAAACTTTTGGGGACAGCTTCCTGTCCTAGGTTAGATGAAGTTCCCATTCTGGAACCTCTAATTTGTAAGAAAGTGGCACATGAACGTTTAACATCTCTGGTGTTTCGAGAGGAGTGCATAGTTACAGCATGTCAAGAAGGACTTGTGTACACGTGGGCTCGACCAGGGAAAGTTGTAAGTGAATGATCATAGTATGAAGTCTCATTCATCATCGTCTCAATCTCTGTGATAATGTGCTTACCATGCTTAGCTTACAACAGCTGAATAATTCTTGCAATAGAGTCATGGACTAATGATAATGCAATTAAGACAATTCATAAATCCAGAAAACTGTTTATGCTGTTGACATAAACAGTTTTCAATTGCATGATAAGGTGTGAAGATGTGCAACTGCAGAATGATTAACGCTTGAAATCATGCGGTAGATCAAATGGTACGGATATGAATTGCAGCAGTTTTCAGTGGGTATTATATTTGCTTATCATACATGCAAAACATGGCGTTGCTTGTCACACCGAAGGCCCGGGGTTCAATTCCCCACATAGGTACAGTGTGTGACGCCTATTTCCGGTGTACCCTGCCTTGAAATTGCTGGAATATTGCTACAAGAGGTGTAAATATTGCTAAATACTTGCTTGCTCATTCACTCTCACTCACTCATTCACTCTCACTCACTTACTCTCACTCACTCACTCACTCCAGTTTGCTCTTGACTTTAAAGTTCAGGTTGTGAAGTTTTCTTTGTATGTCGGCCATTTACTGTGATCAATAAATGAGGCACTGCTGCACAATGCTGTACATTCTAAATGGTCAAAATAACATTCAGTTAACAAGGCCAAGTATTTTTAATCATGTTTTTGGTCTCATTCTTGAATTCTACCCAACTAGAGTAAACAGTGCATTCCATAGACACATCCTGCATGGCTGCAAGAAAGGTGGAGTTTTAATGGTTTCAAAATCGATCAGAAGTAGGAGATCAAAGGCAGTCTTCGAAGGATCCTGTGGTCCCCCACTGTCCCACTTCTGGGGTCTTCAAAAACTCTTGATTATGTTTTTCGTTTGCAGATTGATTTATTGAGATTAGGTCCCCATATTTGTAATACATGTTGTTGAAGCTGTTATTGAATGACCTTGCTGAGGGATGTCATAACACCCTGATGCAGTGAACACTGTGGTCATTGCTCATGACTTGGTAACCTCAAGTCTGGCACAGATTCAGTTATTTACAGGCTGCAAAATATGGCTGTAATTTCAAAACAGCATTCTCTCACTTGCAATGCTTACTCAAGGGATTGTTAAAACATGTATTCAACTGACAATAGACATGCCAGATGCCAAGTACATTGTCAGTCAGCTGTCATGGCTGCTCTGACAAGTCATTTTCATCTTATCTGTGAAGATCCAGGTTAGAATTTGTTTTCAGCTACCCATGCTTGTCATAAGAGGCGACTAACAGTATTGGGTGGTCAGACTCACTGACTTGGTTGACACATGTTATTGTATCCCATTTTTTGTAAAACGATGCCCATGCTGTTGATCACTGGATTGCCTGGTCCAGACTTGATTATTTACAGACCGCCACCATATAGCTGGAATATTGCAGCGTAAAACTAAACTGACTCACTCTATTTTTATCTTAATAGAATTACACAGAGATGGCAGGAACTAAGATTTTTACTTAAGGTTTTGACTCTAAAATTATACGTCCTCCACCAATTAACAGTTATTTTCTTTATTTTCCTCACAAATTATTCATTGCACATGCATAAAATATCACTGACAGCAAATTGTTATGATGAGAGCTATGTTTTCAATTCATGTAGTGTTTAGATATCTGTGACTCATCTGATACAGATGAATCTCAAAAGGTTATGTTAAAAAACACAAGCTCATTTCCTTTTTGTGAGTTCAGGCAAGGAAGTAAATGCATGTATACAAATATTTGTGCAAAACTTTAAAAACTACATTGTCTGTTAAAAAAACCCCAGTTAATTTGTGTCAAATTATGAATTTTGTGAATGTGTGGTGGTTGGACCATGTTTCATTTATGCCTACACCTGACAAAAATGTCGACATTTATTTAACACCTTATTTAAATCATTAACTTTTTTCACATGAAATTGCTCTTTCTTACTTAAGTGATTCCACCAAAGCTTATATGAAGGTTGACATCTCTGCTTACATTATTGAGAGAACGTAGATGGATACGTATATTTTATTGAGGACACTTGTAATGGCAATTGAATTACGTAGGGTCAAGCGCTTCACTTAGTACCGCAGAGGGAACCAGGCTGTCTTGTGTAAAAGTTACATCTCTGACTGTGTACAGATAAAAGAGGAAGTTGACCAACTGTCAGACTCAAGATTAATTTCTTCTTATTCTTATTTCCCATCTCAATTTCTGCCAACCAAAATTGTTATCATGAACCAGTACATAGACATGCTGGAGACTATCATTTTCACCTTTGGTTAGGTCACGGTTAGAATTGATCTTCAGCAACGCGTGCTTGTCATGAAGAAGTGACTAATGGGATTGGGTGGTCAGACTCGCTGACTTGATGGACATGTCATTGTATCTCAGATCGATGCTCGTGCTGTTGACCACTGGATTGTCTGGTTACAGACCGGCAGCATACAGCTGGAATATTGATGAATGTGATGTTAAACACCAAGGAAACAATCATTAGGAGGCCACTGGCATTTTGGGGGGATCAGACTTACGGATTTACCTGGTGTATGTCATTACATCCCAGTTTCACAGTTTGATGCTTATAATGTCAGACATTGGATTGTCTCGTCCAAATAGATTATTTGCAGACAACTCTCATATAACTGGTATAATGCTGAGTTTAGCATTAGGCAACAAAGACACAAACTCTTGTCACGCTTGTTATAGTGTTGATGCCAATAGGGCTAATTATCCAATGAGCATTGTCGTTAGTAGACATTGCCAAGGCCGACTCACTTAAATGAAATCTTATGTATTTTTCCTTACTCTGGCCATGTGCTTCACTCTCTCCTTAGCCCAGTGAGCAGGATGTGAGGAAGCCTTGTGTCTCCCTTACACACATATCCTTTGATAATCTCTTAGTTTTTACCTCCTCATAGGTTACTATAGAGGTATAGCCAGTATCCTTTACTATTTTGTATTGATTAATTATCGATTTCTACTGTTTATTCACGCGGTATTCGTGATTGTTCAGCTAGCTTTACGCCTCATGAAAATCTGTACGATTTGTAGATTACGCTTTTTCTGCCTCCGATCCACATGTAATATGCCCTAGTTGTTCTACGCCGCGGCGCTTTAATTCACGCGTTGCAGTTACTGCATTAATTTATCTCATTCTGCATTTAATAAATATCATCTTTTAGCGTCTTAAGACGTGCTGCAGATAGATCACGTTCAAAACAAGGGCAAAACATGGCAGAGAGTCCAGATATTCCTTCCAGTCAGCTGCTAGCGATCGACCCTCTCCCGCCTGGTGTTCTGCTAGAGACCCCCGGCGCAGAGGAACGGGACGAGTCCGTTACCTCGAAGAAACGAATCGGCCTCCCCAGACATCCCGCCATTGCAGACTAAGTCTAAGAGGGCCTCTATCGCCGCTCTCAACGCAGATTGAGGATTACTCCAGGGCAGCGACTTCCAAAGGGAAATTCATGAAGACAGCAAGAACTTTCTCAGCCGAGATCGTTCCAGCAGCAGAGTTGGGCCTCTACGATGATCAGCCGATAATCATCCCCGACTTACGGCAGAAGAAGCGACCGTGTCAGCGACTGTGACTTCTGCAGAGATCTCCATGCAGCCTGATGCCTCTACACCGGCGCCAGACGCCATTGATGTGAACCCCATCGCAGAAAAGATTGGCCGACGACTTCGCCACAGATCATCCCAGAAGACATGATGCGCAGATTATGAACATCATGGAGGACCACTACAAACTGGCGCAAGCAGGGTCCGAGCTCAGCGAAGGCTCCAACGTGAGACAGCACCCCAGAGGCACCCCCGTCAACGAAGCAGCCAAGACGATGTCACCTTCGCGAAGGAAGTCCCGCACCACCTTGACGGCGACTCTAGATGTACAGCTCTTTGGCGAAGGCCTTCGGCGGGAGAGATCATCACCATCTTCGATTTCATCTCTAGATATGGACTCAGACCATCAGACATCACGGAAGCCTTCGCTGGGTCATATCATCGATCCTCCGGACCGGACGCCAAATGAAGCTTGGCGAAGGCATTCGCTAAGGACATATGATTCCAGATCTTCATCGTCCTAGAAGAACATCGAGGGACTGCCCAAGAGCTTCTCGAAGCTTATCAACATTCACCTCACAAGTCTCCGAGAAGATCATCCCATAGACGATCTCCAATTCGCTTCATCACCAGGTCGATCACCCATCAGATCTCCCACATAGAGCGCACAAGTCAACTAGATCGCCACAAACCTCATCAGATATACAGACAGCTACACGAGTCCCGAAGAGCATCTACAATTTATTAATGATGATGGTTTTGAGGATGATGGAGGAATCATATTTTCTGATGCAGAGATACGGTATTGGATGGTCAATAACCTAGATCTCACATCACCATCTAAAAGTGGCAATACAGCTCAGACGTATTTGATGAAGGAAGATGATCCAGATGCAATCACTCTACCCGATCGACCCGATTTATGCAGTGCCACAGAATCTAGATGCAGCTTTCCAGAAAGCTCACGAAAGTTCAGATACCACATCTACCCAACTTTCGCCAAGAAGTTCTCCACGCATAACATGGACTCCTTCTACAAGGCCCAGGACATCGATGAGAACTATAAGATCATCAGCGATGTAAAGAACAAGATTTACAAGATGGATGATCGCAAGTTGGGCTCCTACATAGAAACCATGACCTAGACGTATGTTCTTTGGGTTAAATAGATCTAGGGACGATCAATGAGACTCTTATTACTAGATTCGGGATTCCAATGAACGGAAGATGATAGAATGATTTATTCTGCCTTACTTATGCAAAAAAGAAAGATCAGCAGTTTTTAACGGATCATCTTACATCTGTTTCAGCAGCACTGACCTTTAGCTCGCCGCCAAGGCCTCCTCGGCCTCCTGTAATTGGGGAGAACTTTTACAGCCCCACTTTATACAGCCCTGTGGTCGACAACATCCATCTTTTGACG